AAGTGTGAAGCAGTCTGTCATTGCTGCATCCACCATGGAAGCTGAATTTGTGGAATGCTTTGAGGCCACAGTTCAAGCTAATTGGTTGCGGAATTTTATTTCAGGACTTGGAGTAGTCGACAGCATTGCCAAGCCGCTGAAAATTTATTGTGACAATTCCGCAGCAGTCTTCTTTTCTAAGAACAACAAGTATTCTAAAGGTGCTAAGCATATGAAATTGAAATACTTTGTCGTTAAAGAAGAAGTTCAGAAACATAGAGTGTCAATAGAACATATTAGCACTGATCTTATTATTATTGTTGATCCTTTAACAAAGGGATTATCGCCCAAATTATTTGCTGGTCATATAATGAATGTGGGCATTATGTTCACTAGTGAATGTTGAATGTTAATGTTATTATTAATGCTTATGTGACACTCTAAGATCTTTAATGTATAAGTTTCTGAAATTTGTGTTTTCTTCTTTATTTATATGCATGCAAATTATGATGAAGAAAACAAATTATGTTATTATTATTAAAATGATATTATGTTTGAACTCATTATGAACTTCTCATTATAAAGTCATATTAAGGAGAAAGAGATAATATAGTGGTACATGGAAGGGAGCCTGTCGATTGAATGACATGTAACCGCCATGACTCTTGTTATAGCTGTATCTTTAATTATGAATGATGATAGAACCAATTTATGTAAGGTCCTTTAATGCGCATTATGACTTAAGTATTAAATCACAGAATCGTATGACATCACATGAGTCAAGTGGGAGAATGTTATAATTAATTTAATTAATTCATTCCATTATGTGACTCATGTGAAATATAATAATGGGTCCAAATGTGATTTAATAAAATATGAGGACCTATTGGTTATTATGTGAAGTTAGAATAAAATAAAGATAAAATAAAATATTAACTTACGGTAACCAACTTGATGGACGTTGGTTAATTGAATGAAATAAGGGTTCTGTCTCTGGTCATAAAGTTTTTCACGATAAACCATCAAGAAAGCGAAGCGTGAGAAGAGAAAGAAAGACAAAGAGATAGATTGGGAAAAAGGAGATTGGAGAACGAGAAGATTAAAGAATAGATTTTCATGGATCAAGGTTAGTTCTCTTATTATGATTCATGTATGTTATGTTGTGAAAATCAATAATCTAAAGATCCTATAGAGTAGTTTTCCATAATGAATTAAGAACGTAGAAAAACTACATAATGTTTTTACAATGGAAACCAACAAGTCAAATGGGGGAATTCATAATTAACTTGATTATTTGGGCTTAAAACTTAGAATAAAAACAAAAGTATGAGTAAAGAGAATAGTTTAACACTTTTCTTCTGTTCAACATTATCAATCTCTCAATCACAGACATACATTTTTTTAGCCTCAATTACAAGGCTTCGAGCATCACAAAATAAAAAGTGAAAAGCAAGGTAAAGCACTGAATTACCCTCTAATAAGTCAAGAAGAGAACAAAACCTTATTGGTGTAAGCATTGCTGCAGATGAAGAATTGAAGATGCCCTTCACAATCTGACCAGTCCCTCCTGCAATTACCTTGGCCAGAAAATGATTGTAATCATCAACCTTAAAATCAAACTCCCTCCAATCTAGATTGTTCTTCTTGCTTAAATTCAAGCCAGAAAACCAAGAGTGGCCCTTCAAAAACGAGTCCAACAAACTCAAATTTCCCAAGGTAGCTTCTGAAAAGGTCACACCATATAGCTGAGAGGCTCACCATCTTTCACAAGCAAGGAAAACACGTAATGGAGAGCATCATCTTTTCACTGTAAAAAAAAACGCTTATTATCTACGGGTAAAATCCGTAGGTAATGACAAAAATCCAGAAATAATGTCACTTTACCTATGAATTTTTTTCGGTAGGAAATCTATCTCGTAGGTAATTTATCTACGGATTTTAATTCGTAGGTAATGCACTCGCTGGAATTACCTACGGATTATAATCCGAAGGTAATGCACTCACCTAAACAAAATATTTTTATTTACTACAATCCCTCCCTTATTTTTTATTATTACCTAAGACCCCCTCCCCTTTATATTATATTTTTATTATTTATTATATTTTTGGAACTTTAAATTATTATTAGATTCTCGGAGTTGGAGACTAATACTCCAACACTTAAGTCTATTAGGATATTTTGATAATAACTTACAAATAAATTATATTTATATTTATCCAGTGTAAATATATAAATATAAAATATATAAATATAAAATATATTTATATTTTGACATATTTATATATTTATATTTATGTATTTATATATTTATGTATTTATATATTTATATTTATATATTTTATATTTATATATTTTATATTTATATATTTTATATTTATATATTTTATATTTATATATTTTATATTTATATATTTTATATTTATATATTTATATATTTTATATTTTATATTTTATATTTATATATTTTATATTTTATATTTTATATTTTATATTTTATATTTATATATTTACCCGAATAAATATAAGTATAATTTATTTGTAAATTATTATTAAAATATTCTAATAGTTTAGTAGTTGGAGTATCAATTTTTAACTTTAAGGTATTAGGTTAGATTTTTGTTGATAATTTTTTAGTTTAATATAATAGTTTAATATAATTTATGTAAGGTAGTAATTTTCGTAATAAACTTTTGTTTTTTTAGTGTTTGTCAAAGGCCATTGAAGATCATGTCTGCTTTTATGATTGTATCCAGAGACACGTTCTCTTCCAAAATTTGTACGATCGTGAAGTTCCCTTGAGCCCGTTCAAGAGCTTCTCCTTCATCCATCAGATGAACTCTACATGCTGCTAGTTGTATGAGAACTTCTTGGTTGAGTCCTGAGTATTCTCATACACTTGCAGTTATGGAGGTTTCCATGGGTGGTCATATAGCTGTGGAGCCACCTAAGCAACACCCTGCTTTTTCTCCCATGGGAGCCATGTTAACCGAGAAAAAGACAATGACTCTTTGTTGCTGTGGATTTTTTTTTTCTTTGTTGAGAATTATACTGAATTTTTAGCCCTGCAATTCTTTCCTTCTTTCTTTTCTTTTGCAAGTTACTAATTCATGATGTATTATAGGACGTAAACGAAGAACAATACTCAATCTCCGTATGCAGTTAAGTACTCGGAACTCTCAATCAGTGCAGATAAAATAAAAATAAAAAATGAAATCAGTGGATTCAAATTTATAAAAACGGATCATAAAATATAATATTTGACGTAATTTTTCATAAAAATAATTACCATTGATTGGCTACACATTTATTTCATTTGCTACGTCGACAAAGAGATTCAGAATAAAAAATATTATCGGAGATTCAGAAATTAATGAAAGCAATTTTTCTTAAAGACTTAAAAATTCCAAATTTAAAGATGTAAAAACATATTTAATTTCCCTGCACTCTTATTTTGTTGCTTTATTAATTAATTTTAAAACACTTAATGTAATCATTCAATATTAAAAATAAAGTTAAAATTAATGACTCAGTAAAAAAATTATATGTACAGGGTATTAAAATTAAACTGATTTTTCTTCTTAAACTAGACGTTTTTCTTATCTATTGTTTGAATCTCGGTGTAAATCACTTTCTGTATAATTCTGTTATGTTTTATCATTGTATTAGATAAGTTAATTACAGATACAATATCAATCTTAAGTTACTTGAATAATATATTTATAAAATCAATTTTCTTTTCTTTTGGGTTATATTCACTTAAGTTTTAATAATTGATTTCAACAAATTGTAACGACTCTTCTATTAAATGATGACTTGTCGTTCAAGCTTCCAATACACATTTTAATTAAGGAGAAAAAAATAAATAAATTATCAAACCAATCACAAACTCATTATTACATTAATATAACCTAAACATGTTATCAATATCACTAATGCATAATATTCAAACATACTATTTTTTAATCATTTAACTTTTTTTTTATATTTTAAATACTTATTTTTTTTCATGCAACTATGTAATATAAAGTTTAATCTTCTCTTTAATATACTTGGACAACATTTTTATATTAGTTTTATTAAATCCTTAATGTTTATGACAAATTTTAAATGTTTATATCCTTTATTCTAAGCACGAAATTGGTTGGATGAGTGAGTAAAAAAATATTTTTTTGGTGAATAAAATGAGAGGAATATACTTTATTTTCTCTTACAAATAAAACTAGTTTGATGAATGTAAGAATGAGCAATAATCTTCTTCGGTAGCTATGTTGTAACGGTAGACAAAAGCCGTTTTTTTAACACTAATTTCTTCGTATTTATTTTAAAGAACTGAAACATCAATTGTATTTTTTTCTCAAGATTAGTTTTTGTAAATATTTTTTTAAAGGATTAAGATAATTGTTTCTTTTGTTTCAAATTCAGGATTAAAAATAGATCTCAATTTATTTGACTAGAAAAATTTGTAAACTTAGAATATTTTTGACTAATTGAAATTTCTAATAACATTTTATTTTTGAATTAATTTTTATGTACACTAAAACCAGGAATTAATTAGTATCACATGGACTAAAATAATATTTAAGGCCTAAAATAATTTAATTGTCCTCTGTGGTTCTGTGTCTGCTGCGATCTCATCTCCCTCACTCCTGCGTTCTCAGGTTCCGTCTCCTCCAATTTTCCTCTCCCATCGAAGTTGACCTTCCATTCCACCTTTTCGAATCCCAAGACCTAGGTCTCTCTCTCTTTCTTATTGCGTGCTTTTGCGTTTTCGATCTCTTTAATTTGGTTTGGATTCGCTTTCCTTCTTATTTCAATTCGATTCGCCCTGTATTTTCCTTAATTAAACCTCTGGATTTCCTAATTTATTGGTATCTAGGTTTTTGAAGATTTTGAAACTGTGCATTTTCACATTCGGCCTCTTCTTACTCTCTGAAACGTATACTCTATTAGTCTTTAACTGAAATTGAAGCTGCTGTATGTTGTGTGTATCTGTGAGGAAAGGGGAATTTGTTTCGTGGTGCTATTGTGATTTCATTTTGATGATTTGTGTCATCTTCTTGACACATCCAATGCTTTTAGAATCCTTTGTGGAGAAACCTAGATTGGGTTTCTCAGGAGGGACACTAATTGATAATCTCAATTTTTTAGAATACTGATAGGTCTTCTGCACTTGTTTGCTCACAGTAAACGTTGCTGGAACCATTTTGTGCGGGCTCTGATTCTTATGTTTTTGTGGATTGTTTCTTAATTGCTTATATTTTTCTGGTGAAGGACTGTGTTTGAAAATTGGGTTGTGAGCAATTACTAGATTCCTTTGCAGGTCTGGTTGGGTGTAGAAGGGAACGATGGCTGCTTCAGAAGAGAATAGTGCACTGTTCCCAATATTCATTTTGACAATAATGGCCATTCCTATAGTGCCATATACAATAACAAAGTTGTGCCGATTTGCCTCTAAGAAATCAAAGAGCATACACTGTCAGTGCTCTGAATGCTCACGGTCGGGGAAGTACCATAAATCAATATTCAAGAGGGTAAGATCATTTAATGCTATGTTTATTTCATTATTTTTTTCATGATTACTTAGTTAATTATATCTGATCTAAGTCTGCTGTTATCTCCATCTTACTTTTGTTCTGTTCCTTTGATTTTGCAGATTTCGAATGTCTCAACCTGTAGTAACATGACATTGTTACTGCTTTGGGTGATTATGATTATTCTGGTTTATTACATAAAGACCATGAGTCGTGAGGTAAACAATAAAGTTTAAATGAATACAGCTATTCCACTGCATGTGATTTGAAATTAGTAGTTAGGGATCTTGTATTTGTGGTATAACATTTTACTCATTGGTTGAATGTTCCAATGTTGCACATTTAAAATTTTTCTCTAAATTTAATGCAGATTGAAATTTTCGATCCATTTAGTATTCTAGGATTAGAGCCTGGAGCGGCAGAGTCTGAAATAAAGAAAAAATATAGGAGACTTTCAATTCAATTCCATCCGGATAAAAATCCAGACCCAGGTTGAAGGTGTTTCAGTTGTTTATTTTTTGTATTGCTGCATTGCAAACTTTTATGTTTGTTGGGATGCAGGCTTTCGGCAATTACCATGTAACTGATATATTTTTATCCCTTTCATGTAGAGGCACACAAGTACTTTGTTGAGTACATTGCCAAGGCTTATCAAGCTCTTACAGATCCAATAGCTCGAGAAAATTATGAAAAATATGGCCATCCTGATGGCCGGCAGGTAATTAACACAAGGTTATGGAAAAATACAAAGATGCTTTTGTCTTTTTGTTTTTATGCTGTTGAAATATACATGATATTTTATTGCAGGGATTTCAAATGGGTATAGCTCTTCCACAATTCCTGCTAAATATTGATGGGGCATCTGGGGGAATACTTCTGCTTTGGATTGTTGGTGTGTGTATTCTCTTGCCATTGGTTATTGCTGTTGTTTATCTCTCCAGATCCTCGAAGTATACCGGCAACTACGTGATGCATCAAACACTTTCTACTTACTATTACCTCATGAAGCCGTCTTTGGCCCCCAGGTTTGTACAATGTTTTTCTAGTTAAAAACTGTCAGTCTTTATTCTCATCATTATTGTTTGAGGACACAGAGAACCAAATTTTATTGAGTCAGCCTTTAATTCATCAGCTTTTTTTGTTGATGTATGTTTATCTATCTATTTATATATTTAAGTTAGCTTGAAGTTCAATGAGAAATATTAGCAGTTAGTTTGTAAATGAATGTTCATATAAAATAAAGAAGATTTTTAATCCCCTCTTGATTTCATAATCAATTTATAGGATTGAGTTGTGCTACAATATTGATGGAAAATTGGGATTTTAAATATTACTTATCTGACATTGAAAAGAAAACAGTTAGGTTATTTTTGTTTAACCTGTTCTTTTAACTTTCAAGTTTATTGTGACGTTGTACAGCAAAGTAATGGATGTTTTCATCAAGGCTGCTGAATATATGGAAATTCCAGTTCGTAGAACTGATGATGAACCTCTTCAGAAGCTTTTTATGTTGGTAAGGAGTGAGTTGAATCTTGACCTGAAGAACATCAAGCAGGAACAGGCTAAGTTTTGGAAGCAGCATCCTGCACTGGTTAAGGTATATTCTTGTATGACTAAGCCTAATGAAGCTTTCCATTCTTTTTTATTTTTCCTTCTGGGAGCACAAGTGTCCAATTCTGGTTTTTCATTACGTGCTCACTTCTATCATATTTCTTTCAGACAGAGCTGTTAGTTCAAGCTCAGTTGACCCGTGAACTTGCAGCCTTGTCTCCGTCTTTACAAAGTGATTTCAGAAGGATTTTAGAAACCGCACCCCGCCTTCTTGAAGAATTGATGAAGGTGACTGACGCACTATTTGATCTTATTTGTCTAAGTAGACTTAGTGTTCATGCTTTCATAATTATGCTATTCACTTTTGAAGAGGACTATTCTATTTCCCTTTTGGTGGAAGCAAAACAAGTCGTATCTAAACACCTTAATCAATCATGTTGAAAATTCAGTTTACCTCCATTGTGAGTGAACTGGACTTAAGGTTATATTGTAAAAGGGAATTGAATAGAGGTAATAAGTAAATAGTTTCATGAGGTGCGTGGTTTGTGTTATTAATATGGATTTATGTAAAGAATACATGTGACACAATCTTATTCCCAAACTCAGTCATGAATGAGTTGGCGTCACTTTCCAGGCAAATATTTGAAAGCTTAATTAAATGAAAGATACAGACCATAGCATTTATCTTAAGCTATTCTTGTGTGTTTTCAAAAATGCTTTTGTAGTCATTAGTATGTTCCTTACGCTAATGCAAAGAAGGTATAGAAGTAAGTATGGTAATGGATTACTGAGACTTGCTGTACCAAGACCAAGATCATACCTATCAAATAAGATGTGCTTATCATACATACTAGTTGGTCATTGTAATATTAAGTTTTGCTTGTCATCATTCTCATCTATGATGGGATTTTAGTCATGAAGCTGTAATATTTGTATTTCTGTACATTCTTTGATACTCTACTTTCTTTAAAAGATGGCAGTTATACCCCGTAATGCTCAGGGGCATGGATGGCTGAGGCCTGCTATTGGTGTTGTTGAGCTTTCTCAATGTATCATCCAGGTGATGAATCTAAGTTGAAGCTAAGTTTTATTGCTTGATATATGCAGTCTTTATTTCATCCAATTACACCTTTCTATATGTTTAGTTTTAAGCAAGTCATCTTCCATGTTACATTTACAGAATACTCTCTCACTATACTGAATACTGTGGCATAGTATTGATGTTATTCTTTATCGTCATTTGTTTGCAAGTTGAGTTGTAATGTTTGTCATGTCATGTCTCTATCCCATGCTTGTTGATGAATGACCTTGGAATGGTATAACTTCTGCCTTCCCTATACTTTTATCAGTTGGGAAAACGGAAATACTATTTCACTGATGTTATTTAGAGCAACAAAGAAACCACTTACTGATATATGTATATAATGTGAATTTCAACTCAAACATTTTCTTTTCTCTGTTAGAATATATGAAACATATCTCACAATAACTTGATTCTTTGTATCTTGGTGTAATTTAGAGTTTTTTTTTTCTTAGTATTGATGTTCATAGTTCCTCACATTGCATGATTTTTTCCTTATTCCATTAGGATTATGAGTTTACTATTTGTATAAATAAGGATTAGGGCTTTTATGTTTTCCACCCTCTTCACATAAAATCCCTATAGTTTCAACAGTTTTTTTTGTGACAACTAGGGTATAAAATAGAAATAGAAATATCCAAGCAAGAGCGATGAGAGAATTTATGAAGTATGGTCAATATTCAACAAAAATTCCTCCTTTCCTTTCAGTCTGCTGGTGTAGGAGTTTAGGAGAGAAACTTGCAACACATGATATGGATTTTCTATTTGTCATAATTAGTTAATTTTTATTTGTAAAAGCATTTAAAATGTGCTTGTTCTTGTAGACATCATTGATCATCCTCCAAGTTAAATGGGAACCAAAAGTGTTTCATTTTTTCCCTCTAGCATCTTTTGGTTCTTATGTCTATGTCTATTGGTGTAACGTCATTTCTTTGATTGGTTTATGTTATACAAAAGTTGTACGTATCGGTATGTTCGTTGTGTAGTTTGGAAGGATGTCTTATTGGTATACATTTATGATATATATGGAAATGTGCAGTTCTCGTTGTTCATATTTGTTTCTCTAGTCTTAATTAAAAAACCATGCATTTTAACTGAAATATATCTTCAATTAATATTTTTGGCCTTCTCATATAAAAAAATTATGTATATCATGTGCTTTTCATGATTTATGACCTCCTATGCAGGCTGTTCCTCTGAGTGCTAGAAAGTCTACAGGCGGATCACCTGAAGGTGTTGCACCATTTTTGCAGTTGCCACATATTAGTGAGACTATTATTAAGAAAGTGGCCCGCAAGGTATGCAACATTACGCCTCCTAACCTTTCCATTCAATTATAAATGATTAAAATTTCTGGTCAGGATTTCATACCCGTGCTGTTTACATGTAGTTTCATGGTCTAAAGATATTGAAAATTGGCCTGAGTTAAGATACAACAAACCTTTTTATACACATTTGTCGAAGAGATCTAACTTTAGCTAATTAACTACTTGCTTGATCCAATTTAATGGAAGTTTTATTTGTGTCAATGGTGTTCTCAAGATTGACAAATGGATAGTATTCAAATGAACAATAATTAAGAAAGTCTAGAAAAAAGAATGCATCAGTTAAATGTTGACTGGTCTTTATCGAGAACTTGAGTAAAGAGTAAATCTTGTTATTGTAGATTTAAAGGTTTTGTAGAATTTGAAAGTGGAAACTATTTACTTTAATTTGTTGTAACTACCTTGAGCTGAGAGGAAACTTTGAATCCAATTTTGAAATGGGGAGATCTTATTGGATTGGATCCTATCTTGAGTGGCTGAATTAGTAATTGAGATTAATGATTTATCTTATTTTTATTCTTTTTTTTTTTAAATGCATAGATATATCCGGTGTGCACAATTAGCCCAAAGTTGTGTATATTGTGTGGTGCCTGTTGTTGTTTGTTTGAAATTTAAATGTTGAATTTATTTTTTCTGTTTTTACTTGGCCATTTAATTTCCAAGTGGATCCTATCAGCTTGAGTGTTGGACCTAAGAATTTCCTTCTGGATATGCAGAAGGTGAGAACATTTCAGGAACTTCATGACATGGACTCTCAGGAGCGAGCTGACCTGCTTATTCAAACAGGTGGGTTATCTTCTGCTGAAGTGCAAGATATTGAGACGGTTCTGGACATGATGCCTTCCTTGACACTTGATGTAACTTGTGAGACGGAGGGTGAAGAGGGTATGCAAGAGGGTGACATAGTGACAATCCATGCTTGGATAAATGTTAAAAGGGGAAATGGCCTGATTGGTGCTCTTCCACATGCCCCCTACTACCCGTTTCAGAAAGAAGAAAATTACTGGTTTTTGCTTGCGGATTCTGTTTCAAATAATGTATGGTTTTCTCAGAAGGTTAGTTTCATGGATGAAGCTGCTGCTCTAACTGCTGCATCTAAGGCGATTGAGGAATCTATGGAGGGGTCAGGAGCAAATGTGAAGGAGACTAGTAGGGCAGTTGCGGAAGCAGTTGAGAAGGTGAAAGGGGGCTCTAGATTGGTATTGGGCAAGTTCCAGGCCCCTTCAGAGGGTAACTATAGTTTGACTTGCTATTGTTTGTGTGATTCTTGGTTGGGCTGTGACAGAAGGACAAATTTAAAGCTCAAAATTTTGAAACGGACTCGGGCTGGCACCAGGGGTGCTGTTTTGGCTGATGAAGGACCTATCATGGAGGATGGCGTTGAGGAGGACGAGGACAATGAGGATGGAGAGTATGATGATGACTACGAAAGTGAGTACAGTGAAGATGAAGAAGATGATCAAAACACAAAAAATAAGCCTCAAGCTGCCAATGGCACAGCGAATAAACGTGGTCAAGGTGCAGAAAGTTCAGGCTCTGATGAAGAATGAGATGTCTTTTCCTAACATGATAGAACCATGATTTTCATCCTTTTCCCTCTTGGATGGTAGAACTATATCGACTGTAGCAGTAATAGTCTACATTGTTCATTTTGTTTATCAGTTGGACTGCGTTCACGCTTGAACTTCTGTTGGTATTCTAGTTCAGCTGATATCATCGCGATTAAATTGTCATATCATCTGAAAATCTCAAGTATGGTAAATGGGTAAGGATTTAATTTTGATTTAATGCTAGTGTACAACTTCTATTAAACGTTTTATTGGTTGACAGGGCCTTGATTTTTTTTCCATGTAACCATCTTATCATCTTAGAGAATTCACCTGCTGCTGGTTCTCTCGTTATTTTTAGAATGGTAAAACTAGGTGAGGGGTGTTATTAAACAAACAAATGGTAATTCTAATTAGAATGTGGTTGATTACATATTTGATTTTCAACTTAAATCTCGAGTTTACATTTGCATTCTAAAAATGTTGGTTAGCGTTATTTTGATCGTATAGGGGAAATTTTTAAGTTTAAATAAGCACTTGGTATAGTAAAGTGATTTTGAGCGCCACTTTATCATGTGCTCCATGCTTCTAGCACTCAACACTTTCATTTTTATATGTTTATCTATTCCCAAAAATCTCACCTTCTCACCTCTGCTTTTTCCCGGATTTTAAGAAAATTAGTTTGTAATATATTAATGTAAAAATTTAATTTATAAAACTAAAATTTACCATTTATTTTATAGAAACTATTTTCCATTTCCATTAATATTCTTAAAGCAAAACAAGTAAACTATATTTAGTATGTGTAACTTTTATCTTTTAAATAAACTTTATTATGTTTTTAATTGTGCAAGTTAAGATTAAGTTCTCTACATTTAGAATCATTTCCTTCCATCCTGCTTTTGTCAGATAATTACAAGTCGTTAATTTTATCAAAATGAAAATACATTCCTTTAATTATTCATTGCCGACATAGAAATAATAACTTACCAACAATATTGCTAACATGAGAATTAATGCTTTGTTAGTGAGAGAAGTGAAAAGAAAAAAAAAGGAGATACCGAAATGATTTTTTGAGTTGTGTGGTAGGTCGTGTTTTAAATAAAATTGTTTTTCAAAAAATATGTACGTGGAAAACAATATAGGGAAGAAGTTTGTGTATAAGAAATCCCTTCTTTGCTTTGTTAAATTTTTCTGTGAAACCTCTAATTAGGATCAACAATAATCATTGATTACCCTCTCTCTGTGCATCACTCTCATAACCATAACAATATGAGGATAGTCCTTAGGTCTTGGATAGATGGTGGAGCACACACACTACACCCTTGTATTTTTCATATTAAGCAGCTTTAATTCGACAATTTTTTGTACTTCAAACCTTCGACTTCTCATGTTTTACTAAAAATCCTCATAATTTAAGCCTATTGAATTATTTAATCATTTAACCCCAAAGTCATACATATAACACAAAATATCACTAAAAAAATAAAAATAAAACTCTTCTCTCCCATTTTAAATCCTAATCTCTTACAAAGTTCTTCTTAACTAAAACTTGGAATTTATACTTTAAAAAATAATTATCACAAGTTCATCATAAAACCCAGAAATATTTTGATAAAAGAATGAGTTTCAGAATTTATAAAAGGATTAAAGGTACTTTGTTTTATAATAAAATTAGTTGACAAATAAGTAATAAAACAAAAATACACAAACCAAATTATAAGAAGCAAAAGTACATTTGAATCTAAATAATAATATAATATTTCAATAAAGTGCGAAAAAAGGGAGGGTCCTGACCTTACACCTGTCTTGTCACCCTCCACTGGTTCAAAAAACCCTTCATACTTCTCAACTCAATACAAATATGAGAATCATTAACCACCATTACCGTGTCAATAAACAACGCATACGCTACAGCAAGTAGCTTCTGAATGACAAGGATCCAATTGAACCCACCAAGTAAACACAGATTTTCAATATACTCCCTTCTATTCAAAATAAGTGACGTATGGTATTTTTTCAAATATTAACAAAACTAATAAATTAACAAGTTGAACAAATTTCCTAATTTATCCCTATAATTTATTCTGCGCTCAGACTATTTTCTCCATATTAATCTATCAGGGAAAAAATAAAATAAAATATTAAATGTTTTATTAAAATCTTAAACATTTTACTGATGGAAAAAATTACTAAATTAACACGTCACTTGTTTTTGAAATGAAGAGAATACTTTCTAACACACTCTTTCCAATACATTATTATTGAGTAAAAATCACATGAGTTCCGATAATTGAGATGGTCTTCCTTATATTTAAGTCTTTCATTTATTTATTAGGAACACATGAATTATACCCAATAACTAAGAATGTGTTGGAAATATTGCGTTAGAATGTGTTTCCTGGATCACAATTCAGGTTGCAGGCCCCCAATGAATTTGTGAAAGCAAAATCAAGTCAAGGGCAATATTTCAAGATAAAAAACCCTGCTGGGATAGCACTTGCACCTACCTATCTTTGCATCGTGGGGTTTCACATGGAGGAGGAGGTACACCAAATACCCAATCAAGGACATTCAAGTATTTGGATTTAAACACCTCCCTCTCCTCTGCATAACAATGCATTATGATGGCTGTTGACAAGCTGAAAACCACCACATCAGCCCTCTTGATCCTTCTTGATTGTGGCAGATATCCTGCATCAGCTACGCATGTGAAGAAACTCTCGATCGCTCGGGCAAGGCAGTATAATGATATTTCTATTCGCCTACTTTTCTTCTCAATGGCCAATGCAAGGCCAGTTGGAAACTGTACAAGAATGCAAAGTTCAACTTCAAAAAATAATTTGTTAATGTAATTGAAATTACATACTGTTTCCAAGAAATAACACAATTCGAAATACCTTCAATTAGGTGAGTAGAAAAATGGATGCAGTTAGAAACATACCGTTCCCATAGCTACCATTGGAATGTTACATCTTTTGAAAATCCTGAAAAGGAAGCACGTCCACATCCTGAAGAACAGAGGCATCCGTATCATACATGTCAGTTTTTCGTTTCTGAAAATTCATGCTGTCCAATTAATAATGAGGCAAAATAAAGAATAAAAAAAAGAAAAGGCAAGTAAATGCATATATATCTCATGAGCCATCTAATGCAAAAGCTTGAGCTATTTACTAAAGAGTGATGAGTGATTACAATACATATCTAACACACTGTAACGCAAATACAATGACCCACTTCCCTTTGCTGAAATTCAACTTTTTATTAGAGATGTGGAAACAAGGATGAACACTTTAGACCACTTGGTTATAGAGGATTGACACCTTACTACAAATATACCATAAAATCTAGTTCAAGGAATAAGGCTTGTTCAAGTCTTATCATTATAAGAGTATTTTAACCCTATAAGAAATGCACATTTCATGTTGGGGCTATCGGAAAATTTAATACGTGATTAGATGATTCATAACATGGTTTCAGATCATGAACCATTTAATGAAGAAACATAATGTGTTAAGATCTGATTGCAAGTTATGGAAAATGTGGGGATCATAAGGCTTTGGGCTCTTCAACTACAACAGCAGCCAGCTTTTGTAGTGGGGTTTCCCCAACATGCTTATCAATTAGTATCAAAGCCTTCCACAATGTTTCTCAACTGTAACTGAGGAGTGGGGGTGGTGACGCAGGCATTGTAGTGTTTAGAGCACAACAAGCCCATGTGAGCCATGGGGCTGCGGAGCGTGGTGGGGGTGTTAGGATCCAATTACAAGGTATTGGACCTAACGGTTTTACCTTTTACATTACTTTGCTAAGAGCATGGACAATAACAGTTGAACATAAGAAAGAAAACAAGTATCTAAAACCAGGTGTTTTCATTTCACACTCAACAGAGCCACATATCTTGAATTGAAGCTGGTGTAGTAGTGTATATAGCAATGATAGAAATCTTTTGAATAATTGTTATATTAATTGGATACTGGTTGTTTTTATCAGAACTACATACAAAGCCTTTTTATATATCCGTGATGGAATTTTAACATAAACTTGAACAATTCAACTGACACTTTTATGCGAGCATGTTGACCCTCATATCCCACATGGGCAGCATGCTATTTCATTCTTCAACATGATTGGAAAAATCAAACTCAACTAGCAAATTTACTAGTAAGAAAACCAGTAACAATATAGTAGCGCATGAACTAGTTTTTGGATGCTTACCAAGCAGAAGCGCAATACACAGACAAAAACAAGCTTGATCTCGCTGTCCCAAAAAGACCCTTGGCCAATATTGTGCAGGGCCTGCACAAAAGCATTTTGATAATAGGAACAAGAGCAAAACAACATAATCTCATTAAATTTGTCATACTTACATGACACTTATATAGCGCTAAGAGGAATGCTAACAACACCCTCTTTACACTACTATTATTGACAAAAAAATTATTGGAAATCACAAATTTCAGTGGGTCCCACTTCTCATTTAATGCCTCTCTATCCTGATTTTGTAGTTTTCAGTAATTTTAACCAATTATGAAGAATGTGCTAGAGAGTGTGCTACTAGCATTCCTCTCGAGCTAAAGTTGAATGTTTGGAGAAATATCAGATAGAATAATTTATTGTCCAAGAAAAACCATTTTCATGAAAAAATCAGCATATGTGGCAGTGATAATATACTCACTTCGAAAACTACAATCTATAATAAAACTTATCATAGCTCTCAGAGAAATTAAATCCTGATATAACATGCTTTCTAAAAGTACACATAGGATCAAGTGAAGAGTAAATTGGTTGCTAAGTATTCCTATTAGATGATCACCTTTTTAAAAGTCCTTTTCTATGAACTATAAGTGCAGGTATCAGATAAACTGGAAGATAAACAGGTAGTGCTCTTTTGTAAGCTTGAAGGAGAAAAGTGAGGATATGTCCACAGCATGATTGATTCCCATGTACAATCTGCAAAATATCATTGATTTTAAATGCCAGAAAAAGGGACACAAATCACAATTGTCTATCCTAGCGAACAAAATTTAATTTTGAACAGATCTAGATGACACATTTAAAACTGAAATTACACAATGCACGGTAAAGTTTAACACAACCCAGAGAAAAAGAATCAATGTCATTAGTCACATTAAACACAATGCACAGTTTTGATAGGGCCAAGAAAAGAAAAGAAAACTGTATGCTTTCACCAAAGGGCAGACATTTATTAAATCCAGTTTACTTGCATTTGAAAATTCAGTGAGTTAGCATTTGCCATAAGAGCAAGAATTCCTACAATTCAATCCCAATGAAGAAATGGACATTACTGTGGTGCAATCAAATTCAGCTTCCAAATTTCATAATGAACATGATGCTCAACAACTAAGTTTTCTTTATTTATTTTCTACAGGTTAATTAAAACTATTGATGATAGAGATAAAAATGAAACAATCACAATAATCCATATTTTATACCGAGCATGGGACTTTCATATCTGGTTTCAACTTCACATTGACACCCATGGTCCTGTAGTATTTCTCAATTGCTCCCAAATTAGTGAAAGGCTTGCCACTGGCTATATCTTTTACACCTTGTAAGATAACTGGATCCTTTCCACCATGTTTATTGAGAAAGGATTTATATGAAGCTGGTAAACTGTCTTGCTTTAATATATAAGCAGACCTGAAACAAAATATTTTCCATTATCACTCATCCTTTTCGGCAAAAAATATAAATGTTAGTAAAATGAAAAAGGAGGGAGAGGGCAAGGGGTTGCAAAGTGTCTGTTTTCCACAAGCATAGCCCAGAAAAGAAACTATCAAGGGTGCATCTGTGTAGACACAATCATAGCTGTAAAATGAGACATTTTTATTTACATCAATTTAAGTTCCATCAAAAGTTTTCTTACAATATCAAAATTAATGCAACATCTACATGCCGTAAATCTCAAGGGTTGTTATCAAGAGGAATTTTAAGTTCGGTAACAAGTTTATCAGTATGATTTATTTTCAGTTCCTTTCATTATTACCTTCCTATTTATCGAATAGTATTTTATTTACCAGACTGCTATAGAACCACATGTATTATATTGTTTGTAACAAGCATTGTGCGTATATATATTCAATTGTAAGACAACTCCACAAGGTTAAACCCGCCCGCACCTTCAGTCACTCTTAGCATAAAACGTGAATAGCTAATCACAAAACTGATTACTAGTCACAAAATTGTTGAGTAGTCAAATCAAAGTCTAAATATAGTTAGGGCCCACTGAGTCAACTAATTCAGCCACTCGTATCATAGAAGGTAGTTACTCAGACAAGATAACGTATCCAAGAGGGATACTAAGCTAAAAAAATAAAATAAACAGGGTTATAAAAGTAATGATACAATAATTTCCTCAGTAAAAATTAACCAGCCAAGAAAGAGAGAGAAAGGGTTATTAACATGATCACATACAGAATCTGTGAGGAGGAGAGACACATGAGGAATATGTCACCGTGCTTCCACGTGAGAGGCTTACAAAATTTTCCAAACCGTTTGCTCTTAATCCCACAACGAGACGCCAAGACAGCAGCACGCATGAGAATGTAAATCGCCAAACTCGTGTGCTGATCCTCTAACCCCGTCAGAAGCATTGACGACCCGGCCACCGCCCCTGCTACCAGAGCCCTCCACCTCGCTGTCCTGAACCACAAAAAAAAAAAAAAAAAAATCACCACGACTTCCACTCCACAAAACCAAATAACAATAACTACTACTCTAAAGCACAACACACTGAGACCCTGCTTTAAAGCCTCATCAACAAGTACTTCAAAAAAAAAACTTTTCCATAAAATAAAATCAACTCATGCACTTCAACTTTCATTAAAGTTCTCTGATCCAACTTACCAAAAGTAGATAAGTTGACTCTAACTAACAGAAAAACTCAATTACTTGTACTTCTTATTTCCTTCCACCGTAAGTAAGTGCTTAATAGAACCTTTATCCAAACGGAGGTTAACTCAATTACGCGACTCAAATCACAACTACCAACCAGTAACATGCAAGGTTTCGTAACAGCGAGTTTTGAATCAGTTCTACGGAGACCTACATCGTTAGAGTGCTACGCGCATTTTAGCAAGAGAGAAAGAGAACATGCCTACGGTGACCAGCGAGAGCACCGATAACCTCGTCAGTTGACACGAACGTTCCGGCGAAGGTTCCAAGGAAAAGGCCGTATCTCAACGTTTCCTTCAGAGCCGCAACAATTGCATCGCTGTTCGTCACCACAATCCCCTTCCTAAAAGAACGAATCGCATCAGTTACTGGTAAAGCGCTACAGAGAAAGCCATATTATACTAATTTTTTCGTTTCTCTTACTTTTGCGGCTTTTTCCGCGTAAACCGCGCCAAGATCGCGAAGATTGCGAGGCCTCCTTTGATGCCGGCGCCGATTGAAAAACCCTTTGCGGAAGCGATGAGGATTCTCCGGAGCTTCTCCCGCTCGTTTGGCGGGACCGCGTCGACGATACAGCCGAGCGCCGACGAGGCCGTGGAAGGAGCAGGCATTTCGTTGTGGTCATTGGCGAAGCCGTTGATTTCTTGCCTGGGGCAGCGGTGGTCTCCGCCGTGGTCGGCGGAAGACGGCGACATGGAAGCTGAAGCAGTGTGGGCTTTGGGTGTGGGGGGAATTAAATTCAAAGAGTGGAGAGAACGGAAAAGAAAAAAGATGAGAGAGTAAATGACATTTTTGGGACAGCTTAAGGTGTCACACGTGTATGGCTCGGGAGCTATCCATGTTGCACCTTATTGCTTTGGTTTTTTTTTTATATATTTAAAAAAATAATAAAAATATTTTTTATACAATCTTGTTTATGAATATTATATTTAAAAAATCAATGATTTAAAATAAAATTAATTAAAAAATATTATTTTATTAATTAATAAAATTTTTGAATAAATATTTGTTGATAATGGGTTATCAATTTTTTTCTTAAAGAATGTTGATATTTTAACATCATAAAAAAATAAAACCATTCATTTAATAATTTATTTTTAAATTTTTATATTATTATTTATTTATATTATTTCATTCTTTGTTTTCATCAATAAAAAAATTTAGATTGTGTTTGTAAAAATTGATTATTAAAAAATCTTTTCCCATATTGAAATTAATTGGGTTTGGAAGTTTTAAAATTTGAAAGATTTAAGATTTAATTTTATTATTTTTTAAATATTAGTTCATTTTCAAATTTAAAAAAGCTTTAAAAACATAAATAGGAATATATATTTTGATAGATAAAAAGATACCTATGAGGACAAAGACTAAAATTACTAATAAAAATAACATTTTGTACGAGTAATTTCATAAATATGTATTGAAGAATAGTTTCTATCCTAAAAGATCAGTGTTGTTTCATGGATTCTTGAAATATTTTTTGTGATATTTATATTTTTTAAGATTTTTTTTCCTTGGTAAATTACTTCTTCCGTCAATAAAATAAGTTGTGTTCGTTTAGTCAGTCAATAGTATGAACACTTTTTTCTCACATTTTGTTGGCATGCATGATCAAGTTGAAAACATAAAAATAAATAAATAAAACGATTAAAGTAATAATCTTCCCCCTGAAAAAATGCGTTAATATTTAGGTTTTTCGAACGAATTTTTAAAGCAACTAAATCCTTAAAATTTTGTTAGTAACTTTGTTATTAAAAGGATAACTACATCGTTAAATGTTGATCCACATAATAGGTTCTGTTGTTCATAAAAAAGAAAATATTGTTTGTAATGATTTTATTATTTAATAAGTAAAAAAATGGTTTTAGTTAAGTAGTTTATTTATTGGTATTTTTTAAGTAATAAGAAAAAGCTTTGCACGAAAGCATAAATTAAAATTGCACTATTCATTAAAAGTGTTAATTATAATAAATTATGCATTACTAAAATTCATTCAAAATCACAATAAATAATAACTAATTTTGCAGACTTTTTTTTCATGAAAATATGACATAATAATTTACATTACAATATTCAAAAGAAACATAAGAAATCATAGTCCAACTCATATGAAATTGATGCAGATTTTGTAACTTCAATCTTAATCGGTTGATGTTTAATCTTAGTCTCTACTTCCTTTTTCTTCTTCTTTAAAACTGCATTTAATTAACGTAGATTATAACATTATTATCATATATTAGCACATTTTTACTTATGTAAAATTATTGAATTGTTCTTTTTACTAGGAAGATTTTTTTTTATACATTATATATCTATATGTAAAAATATAGATACAGAAATTATATGAAATAAAAGCTATGGAAATGAATAAGCTTTGTAAAATCAAGTAATGGAGATTTATATTTAATCAACGGGATAAATAATTTATTAAAAAATATTAATTAACATCTAAATTATTAGTTTTTTTTAATTCATTGCTATCGTAATATTAATTTTAACATAAATATTGAATTAAAATAATGTTCAAACTTCTTTTTTGGTAAATGATTATTTATTTTTTATTCATTTCGTTCCCACTTATATTGAAGATTTGTGTTTATTTGGATAAACTTTTTTGGTACGTTAATATCTGTAATTGTAAATATTTATAAATAAATAAATCACATGGATGTACACTTTTTTCATGTGAAACAATGTAAGAAAATTTTGAAGAAACACAGGTTTGATGTGTGATTTATTGTAGAATTTAATAATATTTTCAAATTTAAATAGTTAATTAGATTCATCATGAAATATCTTTTTGCTTATTTTTCTGTGCACATAAATCTCTTTGAGATCGAACACAATCGAAGAAGGTGCATAAATCTAAACTTCTTACAATTTTAAATCCGTCATTTTTCCTGATTATTAGGCAAATCTAATTCTAAAAAAATCTCTTAAAACCACGAATTCCCCTAGAAATTAGCACCAAAAATAATTTTGGCTTAAGGGATAGTGACCAAATTAGCAAAATTATAGTCTCAAAATGATCCAAACATCATCATCTATAGCTCTTAGCATGTTCTTCCCTCATGATCAGCCACGCTATCCATGGCTTCTACCAAATCCAATTCCACCATTAACAATCTCTCCGACGATTCCCTCACCGAAATCTTCTGCAAACTCCCGTGCAAAACCCTTTTTTCATGCAAGAGCGTTTCAAAGCATTGGCTCACACTCATTTCCCATCCCAATTTCCATTCCCAATACCTCACTCACCAACACACCCTCTTCCAGAAAATTCAGTCCCAAGGAGAGGACCCTGATCAACCCAGTTTCATCCTAAAGCCATACAATGCCCTCGTCATAGCACCAAATTTACCTTCTCTTCAATTTGGCCCTCTCCAAAACCATCTCTCTCTAACCTCTCTAGGCCCAGATTTCGAACCTGCTAACATTGTACCACAACTACGGTCTGTATTGAAGTTTGTTTTTGCATGTTCGAACGGTTTACTCGTATATGGAAATCCTCGTCCACGTCACAAATGCGTATACCACGTACGTAACCCACTCACAAAGGATTCATTGGAACTCCCTCGTGCTCTAACTCTGTGTGACCACGCTGGGGTTCTGGTGGGTTTCATGTGCGACCCTTATTACCATCTTGTAAACGAGAATGCAAAGGTATCTATTGTTCCCACTTCTCAACGCAGGTTCAGGGTTGTTCGCATCCCTGCGTTTAGCGACACGAGGTTTGCGTTTGATGTTGAGGTTTTCTCCTCCGAGACAGGGAAATGGAAGCGGTTTCTCGTGTCGTGTCCAAAGGGGTTTGCGTGCGGGTTTTTTCTCACGTCATCGAGCGTTGAGCATGAAGGGAAGTTGTACTTCATGGGTGGAGGCAGGGTCCTTGTTTATGACCCTTATGATGATGAACGTGAGGCTCCTGTGATTGAACTTCCTTGTGGCTTTGGTGAAGCGTATAGAGGGTGCCTTGGGGTTTCTTGTGGAAGGTTGCAGTTATCTGAGTTCCCTATTTCACCCTCTAGTGGCTTCGAAGCTCATAGTGGGAGAGTTTGGATGTTGCAGCATTGTGGGAAGGGAGAAGAAACAAGGTGGGAATTGCTGCATGAGTTTCGTCTCCCTGAGATTATTGGGCCAGTGTTTCAAGAGTTGAAATCCTTGGAGGTTGAATATATGAGGGGGTGTAGTAGGATTCTGGCTTTTCATCCTTATCTTAAGGATACTGTGTTTCTGAAGTTTGGTGATAACATCATTTGCTGCAATTTGTTAACTCGTAGGTTTAGGGTTTGCAAATACGGTGGTCTCTCCTTGCTTTTTTATCCGGTGATCCCAATTGTTCTCCCTTGCTGGCCAACTCCGATTCCTTCACCATCCTCATTGGTTGATCCTTCTGCGTAGAGCTTTTGCTTTGGATGAGTGTGTGTGCTTTGAACTTGAGCATGTAAGAAAAGTGTAATTTTAGATTCACAAAAATTCTTGTGTTGTATGTAAATGAAGGGCTAGGGTTTTTTTTAACCTGGGGAATTAGTTTTCTTGAAAACTCTCCTGGTAACTTTTTAATTGTGCTTTAGCAATTTTGTAACGATAATAGTAATCATAATGTATTGTAATCGTATAATTAATATTCTTAAAATTGATTAAATATATAACAATAAATTTCAAAAACAACTCATTCGTAATCTTGAACGTCATATATAATATACTATAAAAATATATTATCTTTTGGAAATTTTACCATGGTAACTCAGTAGTCAATAGCTTTATAATTAAAATAAAACAAACAAATATAGCCATGTAGACATACTCTGTTATAAAAATGATCCACATGACTAGAATAATTTTTTGTGAATAACAACACTAATTCTCCTTTAGATTAGTTTCAAAAAGAAAAATATACTTTGACATTCCACTTGGATAAATAATCAATAGAAAACACATTAAATGAAAAAAAATTAAGAAAGAGACATTAGTAAAGAGAATGATGATGACTCATGATGATTTTAAAGGAATATCATCCAAACCCTCCAAAAGATTTGAACTATGAAAAGACTCTCTCCAAGATTTGAACCATGAAAAGGTTGATAAGAATAAAAGAGTTTATTATTGAGTTGTTTATATATATCAAATATTTTTCTAAAGATATTGAGAAGAATAACTTGCAAAGTGATAATTGATTATTTTAGGTCAGAGTCGGTATACATGACTTATCGTGGATTATCATTTTTAGTATTTAAGGTTACTAAATATTATAACACTTTGGTTATGTTGTTTTCATGAACATATAAACTTTTTTCATCTCTTTTATTAGATTTGATGAAGTAGAAAAAAAGTCAATTAATTAGCCCCACCACAAGAAAAAATGTTAGCAATTATCAATTGCATGTAATAATTGAAAGACAATGAGTTATAGCTAACAAAAGAGTTCATGTTGACCATACATGAATGATGCAAATAGTCAAACACAGCCTCGTGGAAACATTTTATGTACATTTTCAACTAAATGCTCCATGTGAAATCCTTCATAGGATACCTTTTAGTTACTACCTTATATTCGAATGTCGCGAAGAGATACATTTATACAAAACCACACGAAAATTAAAAAAATACGTAAATTTATTTTTTAAGAATTTTTTATAACTTCTAAAGAGATTAAATATATATGTTCTTTTAAATAAATTTTATAACTAAATTTATCCAATCGAATATACAGAGAAAACGTATCATCTTTGTACATTAATGCAAGCGAGGTGGGTATTAGTCACATAATTTTTTCTGAAAGGAATGACAACACATTCAAACACTTTCTTCCTAGTCCTGTTTCCATCATATATTAGAAATTATTGAAAATCATCATTATTAACGAGTCTTACATTTTTTATATAACAAAAAGACTCATTAAAATAAGTAATTTTCAATAATTTTAATTAATCATGGATATGTTCTTCATCCCAGTAGATGTTGCAGAGTTAATTAAGCCCTGAACTGAAAGTAACTCCAGTGGAGGGAATCCACGAGTTTCCAGCAAGAAAAGTAGCAACGGTGAACTTCCCAGCTTCTTGCGCATGAAGAACACGAAAACCCTGCCACTGCACCCTCTTTGCAGTTCCAGCACCACCTCCTTCGTTATCATACTCCGCGAAATACAAACTCTTCAACACAGAGTTTCCATAACCAGGCCACGCCACCCACCCACTCGCCGCAATGGCATCATCGATTCTGCTCTGCATCACCACGGATCTGGAATACTCCTTCCACGGCCTCCCTAGGAACGAGTAATACGAGTGCTTCACAGAGGAAAAGTCTGCGGTGGGCGCTATGGTACTCTTGTGAACCGAGAAGCCGGTGTTCTGGGCGGGGTCGGTTCGGCCGTTGGCGAGAATGGCGTTGTAGCTGGAGCCGTGGGGGCGGCGGAGGAGGAGGTTGCAGCGCTGGAAGACGGCGGCGGCATTGCCGAAGATGAAATCGATGGTGCCGTAGATGTCGCATTCTGCGTAGAACTGGCGGAGGGCGTGGGCGTAGAGGGTGTCTTGGTAGCCTGCTATGCTGCACCGGTAGAGGACGGAATGGTCAGAAGCGATGTTCAGAGCCACCGCTTGTTCGCCTTGCGGGCCGGCGTTGTTCTGGAATCCGATGTCTCGTGCGATAAAGCCATCGCCTGTGATTGCTGCAAATGGTGGCGGCGAAGTTGTTGTTACTCAGTTATCAGTGGTGAATAACATTACCAAAAAAACCCTAATCCAATTAAAAGACACAAAACACTAACATTTCTTAACTCTTGTTACAACATGCATTGGTAAGAAAAATATAAATTTTATAATTTTTATGATGTGAGAGAAGATAAATAAAAGTAATAAATAAGATTCAGTAGTCTATTAATTTCTGAGTCGTCCTAAAATATAAGGCACCGATTGTATGGTTAAAATAGTTTATATATTGATGAGTTGTTGCCATCATATTAATAACTCCTCCATTTAGACCCCTCTTGTCGATGCATGTCACTAATCATTCCATTACAACTCGTCAATTCGTACACTTTTTATACAGAACTTGGGTACTTTTTGTGAACGTCAACCAGCACTTTAAGGCTCTTGTTAAGAATATGAGAAAAATATATTTTCAAGTTAAAATTTTAAGGTTGTAGCACATAAAATATATATCATATTTGTATGATTTTTTTTGTTACTTTGAGTAGTGTTATAAAGTAGTATTATTCTTTGTGATGTTATAGAACATTATAGTGAAATAAATGGAGCAAATTTACAAATAAATGAAGTAGTATATTACTTGCATAGTTACACTTTACACAATTAGATTCAGAGAGAAAAGCACTACGACACGAGATGATTAGTTGTCTATAGCTGTAAGTATTACTAAATCAATCATCTATTTGTAACAAAGGTTTTTAATTGTATACAAATAAATTGTGGTCTAGATCTGTAAGTACCGCTGAATTAATCATCTATTTCCACATTCAGTGAAAATGTTACTATGTGTTCTTGGAGTTTTCATACTTATATATATAAAACCCTTTGTATAATATGTATGAGAGAAACAAGAGTTAGAGGGAAATGGATAAGGAAAACTCACAAAACGTGGCTGAGTCAGGTAAGGTAGAACCCTTGGCAACACTGTCATCTCCGACAATAAGAGTAGAGTATTTTCCATCTCCAATCAAGGTGATACCATCCTTGTTGGTGCGAATCTTCTCCTTATAAACCCCTTCTTTAACATAAATCACAAATCGTGCCCCTGAAGCTGCCTTAATGGCTTCAGAAACTGTCTTGTAGTTTCCTGAACCATCTTGTGCAACTATTGCATTTGCTTTTATGGTGGCTCCTTGAAGCAGTTTACGTCCTTTGGCTGATACCCACTTGGGAAATTCATTTTCCTCTTCATTAGTGCCATCTTTGTTGCTAGTTGTCGTGCTCATGTGGTTAACCAGAGCCAATGAGTTGCTTCCCAATTGGGAAAGATAGTCCATCTTCTTGGACATCATTTGCATAAGGTCATCTGCAGAGTGTGCATGTGCATAGTCTTTACAAGATTGTTGGAAAGTTAGAGAAGCACTTAGCCATGTTTGGATGTCATTGTTGTTTCTCCTTGGGGATTTTAGTGCTCTCAGGGTTTGGTCCAACCTTTTCAGCGACATACTCATTAGCTCTTCACAATAATCTGTGTATGATGAAGAATTAAAAGGACATTACACAATGTTAATTAATTTCCATTATATATATGTGTGTGTGTTTTCTTCCAACAATTTCTTGAGTTCTGCTGTAAAATAGAACTAGTATTAATGCATGCAATGGAGAATTTTCAGTATTGTTTCTGTTCATGAATGCCATATCATAAACGTGCATGACAGAAAATAAGTTTATAACTAAATACAATTTTCTTGTAACCCTAAATTTTAAAAATGGACATTGAATTGCTCTCAAATTCGTAAAAACAGTTATATCAGATGAACATAGATGAAAAGATATTAGTCACCTGCAACAAGAGAATGGGCTAGATGAGCATCATCAGTCCTGAATTCAGCAAAATATGAACTTGGCAAGTTGGTTTCGAATATGGTCTTGTTGACAAGAGTCAAAATGTTATCAACACTTTGATTCTGTGAACCAGATTGCATCAGGGTTTCAGCACATAAATTGGGATACCTAGTAAGACTGCATTCATTGTGAGCATGCCCCAGGTGACCACCAACCACTACTGCATCAGACATGGATACCCACGTCATTGCACTTCCTAATACTAAAAGCATTACCACCAATTGTTGTGTTCTCCTCATCCCCACATCAAGAAAAACCGAATAATGGCTGATTTTATCCATAATACTAATGCCTCTTATTTGATAAATTTGAGAAAAAGGGTGGTTATCTATTTATAGTGCCAGGATTGAAGTGTATAAATAGTAACGCGTCATAACTTCACATGAAATAAATAAAAAGGTTTAACATGAAATTTTGTATCGGATAATCACGTTAGTCATAATTTTATATTGTTATTATTATTTTTTCAGTATATTATAATAATCTAATTGAAATATGATGTAAAAGCTCTCTACTCATTCACTTATCAATTATCATATACTTACAAGATTTTTGTATACTAATTATATTCAGAATGAGTTTTAATTAATATAATTTTTTATCTTGAAATTGTATTATAAAATTAAAATCGTAATATATATAAACATTTTATTGGTTTTGTGGTGGATTCTCGTTTTGGTTGTCTATTTTAGGGTTGTCAATTGTGGTAGACTATTCAACCTAAACAGTATAATTAGAGGTTGGCCTAATGCAAGTCAGCCTGTAAATAATTAAGTAAAATATTATAAATAATTTATTTGAAGGTGTGAAAATGGTTTATGATAAAATATGTATGAAATAAAAATATTGTTCAACAGCTTTCAAAATGTTGATAAAGATTAATAAATTGTCATAACAATTTATCGAATATATATCTAGCAAATCATTCATACATTTTCTTAAAGGTCTACTTTAATTTATATACATTTATTTTTATAATTATAGTTTGAAAGTAATAAATAGTTACTGAGTTAAATTTAAAAATAATTTAAATTCATTTTACAAATAATTTAAATTAATTTATGTTAAAAGTCAAGAAAATCTTGGTTGAAAATAATACATTAGTTTGTGACAAATCTTTCTTTTTGCTTTTATTTTTACCTTCTTGATTAACTATTTACTCACGATTCTCAACAAATTCTACAATAAAAATTGTGATGAAGATACAAAGAAACGTTCCAGATTTCCAGCTAAACTAAAACATATGTGTTAAATTTTAGTTTTATTGAAATGTATTGTTTTAATGTACATATTAAAAATTCTGAAAAATCTTAAAAAAAAAACGACGTATAAAAAATATTCCAACGCTTAAACCAACACATTCCCGCATATTCTAATATTAATAAAAGAAATGATAAACATCCCCGCACAAGACAATGGGATGGGATTTGCTTTTTATCCATAAAATAAGCCATTTAAAACCTTGATAGCCACGAAAATGACATATGGTTGTGTTGTCCATTCCATTGCTTTCCCTATGCTACCTTTAAGAATTCAGGGTCCCTCATAATCCACTTTTTCACCAATTTACACTTCCAACTTATGCGTATAGTTTCTTCACACCTAATATACGTACATCTAGTACTGTATGGGACACCAAGTAGGGGACACAATAATATTACAATACTATGCTACATCACAAAAAATTGCACTATCTATTATAAAATATTTTTAAAAAAGGGGAATAATGATTTTTTTTTGTACAACTGTTTTGCAATTTAATTTGTTAATTGCGTTTTTCACATTGATTAGGAATTTGATTATTAAAGAGTGAATTAAATAAATGTTTTGCTTACAAATATTTATGTCACAAATATGAGAACGATGCCAATTTTTCTTAATTAGTTGATGAGGCCAAACAACGTTGAGTTCAAAGGATAAAGAGGGTTCTATGAAAATATTTCACCAATTTGATTGATTCATAATAGATTCACTTAATAAAACTCATTAGAATTAACAATTATTGTTTAGAAACTATAATTATTACTTTTGAATATTTTATTTGTTCATGCTGACAGGTATCAATGCCTGATGCTTGGTCAAAATTAGTCATTGTTGTTTAAAGATCATAGTATTAATCAATCAAATAATTAATTCCGAGTCCTCGAACAATTATTTAGAGTAAAAATAGTGAAGAGAATGTTGGAAAATAATTTAAAATTTAAATCATATTTATGTATTTATTATTATTATTTTTAATATTTAACTAAGTGATTGGTTAAGATATTTAGTAGTTTGTAGATGGATAGGAGAATTAACGACCTAATTACTATTATGTCTTCGTGTATAAATACTTTTATATGAGAGATGGAAAACATATACAGTGTTGAAAATTATTTTTATTTAAAATTATCTTTCTCTTCTAAATAATTTTAGATTGATATTCTTTAGTTCGAAGATTTTTTATTACATACAAAATATTTATCGAATGGACAGAAAAGAATACACTAAAAATTACTACAAGTGTAATAGATACATTTTCTCTCTAAAAAAATATTATGTGTTTCAACCCATATTATTCTAAATTTAATTTATTATTATATATATTACTTTTTATTATTATTTTTTTTTAAATTATTTATTATAATATCATAATTTATTTATCACTAATTCTTTTTCTATCCCAAAATACATTGATACTCATTCTAATTCTAAAAGATGTATAAAATATTTTCAGGTGAATTAATGATATAATATATATTAATTAATTAAGAAGTGTATAGATTGAAATTATAGGTAAATGTGTGTTGGGAAACCCCTATCAATGCACCTTTTATTCCCACTTAACAACATTATTTAGGGCAGGGTCCTTAAGGACAGAAAATGATATACAAAAAAGTGCAACTAATAATTAAAAGAGACTGTTAATGGAATCTCCTCCTCTTGTAGGGCCAAAAGGGGTCTCCTCCACAAACATACCAAACAAAATAGTAAGGATTTAATAAAAATAAATTTTAAATTGTGAGGCTTTGAAAAAACCACTCATTATCTTTTGTATTTTATTTACTCCAAAAATAAAAATTAAATATCTACTATTCATTCATATTATTTTTAATTTAATGTTCTATAAAATAATAATGTATTAATAACTATAAATAAGTAAAAAAAAACTTTTACTCTTATCTCTCTATATAAATCAATTAATATAACCAAATTATAATATATATAAATATAAATCTTAATTTATAAGTTAATTTTGTAAAATTAAATTAAATCTAATTTTTTTAATCTATTTTAACTTAATTTGTTAAAAAATTAAATAAGACTGTAATGATTATTTTTGTCATCTAGACTTTTTCTCTTATCATGCATTTAACCTTACTAACAATAATAACTTATGAACCCTATGTGGCATTGCAAATGCACACAATTAACTTGTACGAATCCTATCTAGCAAAAGTTGAAAATTTAATTCAACTATGAATCATATTCTAATTAAGGTTACACTAAAACTAATTATGAATGAGATAATATCTATATTTGTAAAATCATTTCCATTTTTTTACGTAATTTATTATTTCTTATTTGTTATGTTCCTCGTTCAATTATTTAGAATTCATATCTTTCTGATGTTTACTTCTGATTTGCTACATGGATAAGTCTATTTAAGGTCCCATTTTCTGTTGCAGCATTTATATTTTTAAGTAATAATACTACATACAAAGTTTATTGGTTTGTACAACTTATTACACAACAACTAAGTTTTATAATATTGTCGCCAAAGGTTTTGATGACACTTATCTTATTGTCTGCTTCAGGTTGAAAATATAATAATCAAAGTCCCATATGTTGTTTCAATATTTATTTTAAAATTTAAATATGATTTTAGTTTCTATATATCAGAGGACCTTTTTGTTTTTGTTTTTTTAATTTTTTTCCTCAATATTATCCTTTTGCTATTAATTAACATGTTGTGACATATAGCACGAGAACTGTAGTTACCTATTTGAATTTTTGCTTTTTTTTAATATGTTTATCTGAAATGTTTATTTTTAAAATAATTAATATTCTAAATTTTAAAAAGTAAATCCTATTTTAATTTTAAATAAGTGAATTTTAAAAAAATATTAATATTATAGAAATATTTATTTATATATTAATTTTCAGTCTTGTATTGATTTCATAATGGATTGCTTTCATGTTAGAAAATCATAAATAAAATCATTAATGGTCTCAGATAAAATGATCATGAATATATAAATTAGTTGAAGCGTTCAACTGGACTCGGCATACATTTGAACATGTATGCATTCATGATATGAAATGGTTTAATTGTACAGGCCCAGGTGAGCTGGTACACCTGTTCCATTGATCCATGTCCCTTGTAAGAAAGCTTCAACCGTGTACGTGGCAGCCTCATTCCTATCAATGTCTTTGCGGTTAGGCCAATTGACCCTAGCACTGGTGTCTGCACCAGCTCCATTGTTGTTGAACTCACCATAATACAGTGTGTTGAGTGCAAAATCCCCTTCCCAAGGAAGCCAACCATCAGAGTGAATCAAGTCATTAATTTGAGTCTCCATGATGATGGTTCTTGAGTACTCCTTCCAGGGCCTTCCAAGGTAGTTCTTGATCTTGTCCTTCACAGAGAGCAAGTCATCAGCAGCTTTGACCACACACTTCTGCAGAACGAAGCCAGTGTTCTCTTGCTTGTCGAGTCTCCCTTGTGCAGTCACAATGTTCTGCTGGTTGTTCAGGGGCTTTTTCACCAACATGGTGCAGTTTTGAAATACTGCTGATGCGTCCCCGAAGATGAAGTCGATGGTGCCGGTGATGGTGCAGTCTCGGTAGAACTGTCTGTGGGTTTGGGCGTAGAGTGTGTCTTGGTAACCGTCAAACACACAGTTGTAAAACAATGCTTGATCGGCTTGCACTCTTGCAGCCACTGCTTGATGCTTCTCTGGTCCAGCAGTGTTTCTGAATTGCATTTCTTTGCCCAAGAATCCATTTCCAAGAACCACTGCAGTGCACATGAAAAAAATGGGTTTTAGCAAGATAGGCTTCAAGAAACCCTAACATACACTTGATTAATTACATTATTTATAGAGTTGCTCTAGTATTAGAGAAATCTAAGGGTTTTGTGGTAGTTAGTTGTCTTTTTGGTTTGGATAGACCATAGTAAGAATCGCTAAACTCTTAATTCTACTACAGTATCATAGAATATCTCCTATTTTTGACAAAATGTCTTACCAACATTTTTCGTCATATACAAAATTGTGTTGATTGAGGAGAAACGTTAGACTTACCAAATGATGCAGTTTGGAAAGTCCTGACTCCATCCACGTAGTTTTTGTTACCAGTGATGATACTCTTGTCACCTCCGTCACCATACATGGTTAGGTTTACCATTTTCTTTGTCACTGTCACAGTCTCATCGTAAACACCTTCTTTAACATAAACCACGTACCTGCCATGCATTGAAAATAAATGCTTTGCATGAGCATCCACAGATGACAAATATTTCCTCAAAATAATCGAAAGAGAAAGATTGGTACCTTCCCTCGTACGTTGCTGGGATGGCAGCCAAGGCTTCGGAGATGGTTTTGAAGTCGCCACTGCCATCTTGTGCGACGGTGACATTGGGTGTGGGCTTCACATCCGATCCCGTGAACTCAGAAGGGCCAGCCCGTTTGGGAATCGGGCCATCCCAAGAAGGATTTGGGCCCGGAGCCGCACCAGTGGCGGAACCAGGAGCAAGAGCAGAACCTGCACTGGCAACACCAGGACCAGAAGGAGAAGCAGAAACAGGGGCAGTTGCATCATTATTGTTGGTCTCCCATGGAAGGTGAATGTTTCCAGCGCCTTCGAAGATAGAAAAGAACGAAGCAAACTGCGACACAACGGCAAGGCAATTGCTCACAAGCTCCCTCGACTCGGTGAACGTCTCCTTGAACTTTTCCTTCATCTCTCCCTCGGGAAACCCATCGATGCAGGTTTGTTGGTAATTCATAACGGCGCTGAGCCAGTTATTGAGTTCCGCAGCCTTCGTGGAGAGAACTTTAGCATCGTTTTCTCCGACCTCGTTAATCGAATTCTTGAGCTCTTCCCTTGCGTCTTCGAACATCCCCTTGCAATCACTGTACGCGCCTTTCTCCTCTTCCGAAGCGAACTTCATTTTCGTGGTTTTGTTGAAGGCTTTGTTCACCTCGTTCTCCGCCAAGATCATGGACACCATGATAAGGTCTTTCGGCTCCGACAGCTTCGGGTCCTTCTTCAGAGCCTCACCGAGGGTGCTCTCGCATTTGACCTTGTATTGGGCGGATGAACATATCATTTCCACGAGCCTCGACTTCTGGTCCACGTGTGGGGTCTCGGTGATGTCAGTCTCTGGGATTTTGGTGGTGGAGCCGGTTCTCTGGACCACGACGAATGTAGCGGCGCCAACCACGCATGCTAGGAGAACGGCGGAAACGACGCTGATGAGGATCTTCTTCCTCATTTTGAGTCTGTTCTCGTTTCTTCGGCGCTCCGAGATGAGGTCGAAATCCTGGAATGTCATTGCGGTTGAGTATGGGTGTCTAAGGCAGAGAGAAGTCTCTGCCCTAGACAGAAGGGACAGTGGAAATGGTAAAAGATATATGAGAACCGTCGAGGGGCTGCTGCTACAAGCAGGTTATCGTTGTGCTCTTTCCCCTCTGCTTTCTTGCATCAGTGTTGGGGAATTTGTACTCTTGTTGCATCCATGCACGCGTGGACGAGAGAGTTTTTGGTGTTTTCCATTTTGGGAAGTTGGTCATGGGGTGCATAGATTATTGCGGTGGTGGGTGGTATGTGTTAGTCTATTGCCAATCATTCTGTGCCTTAAGAATAGGTTTGCATGAATTTATTAATAAGTTATTTAATCATTATTAAATTATATTTGGTATCAAAATTAAAAAATTACGAATAATAAAAATCAAGGAGCTAAATTATAAGAAAAAAAGCTGAAATTGTGGATTTTATGAAATATAAGAACCAAATTAAAAATATTATAAGTGATATAATGTGATAAGAAAATATATAGAAAAATTTATAAATATTATAATTAGTTATTTAAGTATAAAAATTGTGCTATATAATGAATAATGTACAGTAGTTTTTCACTTTGGTCATTATTCTTCTCCCTATAATATAGTTATTATAAGGCATAAGGTTTGGAAATAATGCTTATTAATTAGAATAATTGATGTGATGATAACTTTATAATTTACTTAATGTATGTAATTTGTCCTAATTTTAATTATTTAAGATTTTAGTATTGTGTCTTTGCAAACATGTCTTATACGTATTTTAAAGCAGTGAAGTCCCATGTTATAAGAAGGTTAACCAAAGAAATTAGTCGGTTTTGTTACAAAAGATTATATTTAAGAAGAGTTTAAAATAAATAAATATATATATATATATATATATATTTATAAATTTATATAATATGTCTTACTCTAATAAAAATAAGTAGAGATTGAAAGTCCTTGAAATTATAGAAAGGACTGTAATATTTCACAATCTAATAAACATAATTGCTTTTAAGATAATAATATAATATAATATTTTAACCATGATGAATGATAAAGTTTTTAAGTCAAAGTCAAATAAATTTTGTAGCGTAGTCCTCCAAGTTATATAAACTCCATCATTCTTGCCTTGATTCTCCATTGACATATTGACTATGTATCTCGCTGTGCCCTATTTTCCACGAGAAAAAAGGAATTTTTTTCTGGGGGTAAAGCACTCCAAAAGAAAATGATTATGGATCCAGCTAATAAATTAGTTAAAACCCTATATTACTCTACCCCAAGTGTATTATTTAAGGGAGTAAAATACTCAACATCTTCACAAGAACACATTTCATAAACTCTTCACCTTTGCTTTCTTTCCATTATGGTTGATTCATCTCATAAACTCTTCTTCCTTCTGTTTGCAATCTTTTTCTCACATACTTGTTGTGTCCACTCTTCCAATCTTTCCACAAAAGTTCAAGTGGATCTCTGTTTCATAAGATCTCTGTGCGCAACCACCCCATACCCAGAATCTTGTTTAAGGTCATTGAATATATTCATCTCAACATGCACAACTCCAAATCCAAACATAAACAACTACCTCCTTCAGTCCCTCCAAACAGCAACATCTGAAACCACAAAGCTCTTAAATCTCTTCAACAATGTTGGACACCCAAACATCATAGAGAAGCAAAGAGGAGCAGTTCAAGACTGCCGGGAGCTCCATCAATCCACATTGGCTTCTTTGGAAAGATCCCAAACAGGGATCCGTTCCTCCAGCATGGCCACAATTGTTGTAGCAATTTACCTCAGTGCAGCCCTCACCAACAAGAACACATGTCTAGAAGGCCTAGATTCTGCTACTGGCACCATGAAGCCAGTTCTGGTGAAATCTGTGATCAACACTTACAAGCATGTCAGTAACTCTCTAGCAATTCTCTATAACCCCAAGATGGGGACTCCTGAAATCCCGCCTTTGAAGGGTGATCCAAAGTGGCTATCAAGCAGTGATAAAGAGTTCTTCTTTCAAGACTCGGATGGGGAAGAATATAAACCAAATAAAGTGCTTGTTGTGGCTGCAGATGGAACTGAGCAATTTAGCACCATCACTGAAGCCGTCAACTTTGCTCCAAATAACAGCATGGTTAGGACAGTGATCCATGTCAGAAAAGGTACGTACAAGGAAAATGTGGTAATCCCATTAAATAAGACCAATATTGTGATGCTTGGCGATGGAAGAGATGTTACTGTCATAACCGGTAACAGAGCCAACAGAACTGGATGGTCCATTTTCAGCTCTGCAACACTAGGTGAAGCCATTGAACCCTTTTCTCATTTTCTGCAATTAATTATCTATCATGCAGTGCATTATCACTTGGCAGTGGACTGAGAAGGAACAGAAAAGATGTAAAAAAATGAACTTGTCTTCCTAGAATGCTTGCATTCCTATCTTTTTAAATCGATTATCGAGTAACAGTTTTAATAAATAAAACAATGACATTTTTATATATTGGAAGAAACCTTTTAATCGATTCTTGAGTAACCGATTTTAAAAGTATATTTTTAAACTGATCCACCAAGTATTGCTTTTTACAACACTAAACTGATTTAAAAATTTATCTAATATGACCAAAATGGCAATTACATGATTAAACGCTCTATCTATGTTTTTCAGCTGTTTCTGGTAATGGTTTTCTTGCACGTGATATTGCAATCGGGAACAGTGCAGGGCCAAAGAAGTACCAAGCAGTGGCCTTGAGGGTAAATGCAGATTTAACTGCATTCTACAGGTGTGCAATTTATGGTTACCAGGACACTCTATATGTTCACTCCTTTAGACAATTCTACAGGGAGTGTGACATTTATGGGACCATAGATTTCATATTTGGAAATGCAGCAGTGATTCTACAAGATTGTAACATTATATCCAGAAAACCATTGCCTGGTCAAGCTACTGTTATCACTGCACAATCCAGAGATAGCCCTAATGAGCCCACTGGCATCGTAATCCAAAACTGCAATATCACAGCTTCCTTCAACGACAACAGTCTGAAAAGCTACCTCGGGAGGCCATGGAAGCCTTATTCTCGGACCGTTTACCTCGAGTCATTCATTGATGACTTCATTGACCCAAAGGGTTGGACAGAGTGGCCTAATAAGAAAGGATTGGACACCTTGTATTACGGAGAGTATGACAATTATGGACCTGGTTCCACCACAGACTATCGTGTACAATGGTCTGGCTACCATGTAATGGACGATGGTGATGCCTACAATTTCACAGTTTCAAACTTCATTCAAGGTGAAGACTGGCTTGAGTCTACTTTTTTTCCTTTTGATTTAGGTTTTGATTACACAAAATATCCCTAGTTTCCTACTTGCTACGCTACTTCCAATTCTCTTAAGCTACTCAATGTCACAAGATATCGACCGATATAAAGAGATTCCTCATTTTATAAATATTAGATTGAAGAGAAACAAAAATTTAAAAAATTAATTATATAAACGAAAAATTCTCCATCTAATTTCTTCTACTACTTAGTGCAATCAAGATTTTAAATTTAGGAAAATGATGCATAGAAACCCTCTTCACAGAAAACAACTCTACAACAACTGTTTAAATTGATGTGATAATAATGAAAATTTAAATTTTAATGTTTATGATTATTTTATCACGAGAGAGGTGTTATAAAGAAATATAGGGTAAAAATGAGTAGTTCACGTATTAATAATGCTCTTAAATTTAAACTTTCGTTTTTGTCACGGTTTGTAATGATTGCGGGTCAATTATTGTGTTTTGATTAGGCACGTTCATTTTATAATAAAATTGAATATTTTATTATAAATTTCACGTTTATTATTTAAAATTTGGTGAAATATTGTTTTTTTAATTTTAAATGATTTTTTCTATTTTTAAACAATTTTATTTCTAAGTAATTCCATTTAAAAATGTTTTCAGTATCTTGTGCGATAGTATATTTTAATTTTTAATTGAGATTTTTGCGTCGTTTATAATAAAATATTATTTCTTATATATTAATGTAAAATAATGATATAAGTAAAATTTATTATGATTTATATATTTACAAATTTATAATAAAAAAACTAATAAATATAGTAACGAAAAAATGATGAATACATCTAAATGGAGAAAAAAAGAAAATAATTTAATAATACATAAAACATAAACATGTGTTTGAGTTTTCACTTTAACATTGTATTTAAAGCAAATTTTTCAAACACATTATTATTCATCTTATTACTATCATTTGGTAAGTTTTATAAATCTATGGGTAAAATCCGTAGGTGTTATTAGATTCGAACCCGATACTTCGAATTGGAGGTCGATACTCACACTAAGTCTATTAGGATATTTTATTAATAACTTACAAATAAATTATATTTATATTTATCCGTGTAAATATATAAATATAAAATATATAAATATAAAATATATTTATATTTTGATATATTTATATATTTATATTTATATTTATATATTTATATATTTATGTATTTATGTATTTATGTATTTATATTTATATTTATATATATTTATATATTTATATTTATATATATTTATATTTATATATATTTATATTTATATATTTACACGAATAAATATAAGTATAATTTATTTGTAAATCATTATTAGAATATCCTAATAGTTTAGTGGTTGTAGTATTAGTTTTCAACTTTAAGGTATTGAGTTTGATTCTTGCTAGTGACAATTGTTTTAGGGTTTAATATAATTTACTTAGGATAGTAATATCTGTAGGTAATGTACAATTTACCTACAGATAAAAATCGGTAGATAATATTTTGTAAATAATAGGTTTTTTTTTTGTAGTGATATAGTTTATTCTTTTTTTATACATAAATTTATAAGATTATGTTTTGTAGTCCTCAGTACTATTTGGAATTAGAACTCATTGAGGAATTGTGTGAGATATAAACAGTACAAAGGTAGAGAAGAAAAGTTGCGTGAGATAATCATTAAGACGACTTAAATTAAGAGTGAGACTTAATATTTCAAATATATATAAATATTTTTAAAATTAAAAAAATTATAATAATGGGTGACCACCCTGATTTTAGCACGGTAAAGAAAGTGGCATAACATCGAATGAAAGAAAAAACAAAAAAATTATCTGCACCCAAGTGGAAGGCTCAAACTGAGTTGGGTTTGAAGGCCCAATAAATTTTGACCCAGCCCACAGACATTCTTTCGATCCATATTCACAATGTAATGAGAGAACTTTTTAATACAACTCTTATGAACAACTCTCTTTCAATATTATAATAATAGTTTTAATTTATTTTTATTTTTATTAAATTATTCTATAGATTATTATATTAATAAAAATAAGTTGTTTGAAGAGTTGTATGATTTGTGGTTGTCAAAATGTTACCACTCAAAATGATTTAATAAAAATAAAAATAAAGTAAAACTATTATTATAATATTAAAAAAGAGTTGTTTATAGGAGTTGTATGAATTTAGGTTATCAAAGTATCATTTTCCTTAATATATTGGTCACATTTACAAATAAAATTTCAATCACCTTGTTAAGTTTACTGCATTTGAAATGTTCTCTATTTTGAAGTTCAATATTTTTATTGCCATTTTATTTTTATGTTGTTATATGTAGCTGGATTAAGAAATAAATATATAGAAGCTATTTTTTATTTTCACTTCTAAAAAAATATGCAACTTTTAAACAAATGGTAATAAGAGGTTTCTGAAAATGAAAAAGGATTATATGGGCCTTGGTGTGTGTATATATATATATATATATATATATATATATATATATATATATATATATATATATATATATATATATATATATATCATAGAAAATTAATTAGTAGATCATGATCCTTCTTTTGCCATATCCATTTTGATAATACTACTTGACAGATGACATATATAGAATGCAATAAAATCATAGAATTTATGAAATCAGTTGTGTAATTAGCAATGAACTTTTCTTATTTTACAATGTTACTTTAGTAAACTACCTTAGTGGGCTTAAGCCAGAGGACGGAAACAACCGTAAGTAATGTAACAATTAACGAAGTAATGCTGTTTCAATTTGCTCAAATCCCATCATCATAAGGTACTGAAGTAGTAGCAAGCCAACCATCTCCATTGATGAACTCCGAAACTGTGAAATTATAGGCATCACTGTAATCCATCAAATGGTAGCCAAACCATTGGACACGATTATCTGTGGTGGAACCAGGTCCATAGTTGTCATATTCTCCATAATACAATGAGTCCAATGTTTGCTCACTAGACCACTTTGTCCAACCCCTTGGATCAATGAAGCTATCAATGTAAGACTCGAGGTAAACAGTGCGAGAATAGATCCTCCATGGCCTCCCAAGGTAGCTCTTGAAGCTACTAGAGTTGGAGTACAGATCAAGGGTAGCTATGATTGAGCAGTTTTGGATTGAGATGCCAGTGTCCTCATCAGGGCTATCTCTGGATTGTGCAGTGATAGCAGTGAATTGACCTGGCAATGGTTTTCTGGATATAATGTTACAATCTTGTAGAATCACTGCTGCATTTCCAAATATGAAATCTATGGTCCCATAAATGTCACACTCCCTGTAGAATTGTCTAAAGGAGTGAACATATAGAGTGTCCTGGTAACCATAAATTGCACACCTGTAGAACGCAGTTAAATCTGCATTTACCCTCAAGGCCACTGCTTGGTGCTTCTCTGGCCCTGCACTGTTCTCGATTGCAATATCACGTGCAAGAAAACCATCACCAGAAACCGCTGAAAAACACAAAGAGTATGTTAGGTATCAGACTAGCACAAGAACTCAACTAAAATAGAGAAGAGAAAAATAGAATAGCAATAATGGACAAAAGTAGAAATTTTATAATAGCAAGAAAAGATTACACATCCCTTCTCTAGTCCTAAAATTGACAACACTTTCTAATACTAGAGAAGGAAAGGAATTTTTTTTTTTTTTTGGGATGTATAGAATGGGGGGTATGTGGTTTCTTATATAACCACTCACCCATACCCCCTTTGAAGAGTACCCACAGATGTGGGACTTTGTTCTCACAATCTCCCACTTGAAGATTTTGATGAAATCAATCAAATCTTCACACCATGATTATCTTTTCCATCTATACTACTTATGCTTTCAATAGGCCATAACAGGATCGACTTAGTATAAACTTGTCAGCATTTACTGGTTTTGTCAAGGCATCTGCTAGGTTATCTTTGGTATGAATCTTCTGCATATCCACACTCCCTTCCTCTACTACTTCTCTGACAAAATGATATTGTACTCCTATGTGTTTTGTTCTGGAATGAAAAGTCTGGATTCCTTGCAATGTGCAAGGCACTCGACTCGTCACAATACACATTGATCTTCTCTTGCTTGTGTCCGAGTTCTCCCAATAACCTTTGAATCCAAATTGCTTCCTTGCATGCCCGGGTAGCTGCCATGTACTCCGCCTCTGTAGTAGATAAGGCTACAACAGTCTGCAGTTTAGATAGCCAACTTACCGCTCCACTTGCAAGTGTAAACACATATCCCGTAGTAGATTTTCTTTTATCAAGATCACCCGCAAAATCTGAATCAACATATCCTCTCGACAATAAACTCTGATCCTTCAAAACATAATGCAAGCATTAGAGGTTCCTTTAATGTATCTTAGGATTCTTTTCACAGACATTCCAGTGCTCTCTACCAGGATTTGCCATAAATCGACTAACCGTCCCAACTCGCTTGTGCAATATCCGGTCTCGTACAAATCATAGCATACATAAGACTTCCCACCGTCGATGCATACGGCACTCGAGACATTTCCATCCTTTCCGCTTCATTGCTAGGACACATATTTGAGGATAATTTGTAATTGATAGGCAATGGGGTAGAGATTGGCTTACAATCTTGCATGTTGAAGCGCCGCAAGATTTTCTTAAGATAATTCTTTTGAGAGAGCCAAATCTTCCTATCCTTTTTGTCTCGGTGAATTTGCATCCCTAAAATCTTGTTTACGAGTCCCAAGTCCTTCATATCAAATTCCCTAGCCAACTCGTGCCTTCAATTCTTGGACTCGATCTTTGTTGGGGCCTACCACCAACATGTCATCCACATACAACAACAAAATGATGAAATCATTATCATCAAACCTCTTGTAATACGTACAATGGTCCGAACTCGATCTGTTGTATCCGAGGCTAATAATGAAGGAATCAAATCTCTTGTACCAACACCTTGGCGCCTGCTTTAAACCGTACAAAGATTTGGTCAACCTACAAACCAAGTTTTCTTTTCCTTGTTCTTCAAAGCCTTCTCGGTTGGAGCATATAAATTTCTTCTTCAAGTTCTCCATGAAGAAAAGCAGTCTTTACATCCAATTGTTCAAGATGTAAGTCAAATGCAGCACACATAGCCAACACTACTCCGATAGTGGTAAGTCTAACCACCTGGAGAGAATATCTCATTGAAATCAATGCCTTCCTTTTGAGCATACCCTTTTACTACCAGGCCTTGCACGATATCGTTCCACTTGATCATTACCATCACGTTTGATCTTATAAACCCATTTGTTGCCGATGGCTTTTTGACCTTGTGGAAGTGCAACAAGCTCCCATGTCTTGTTTTTGTGTAAGGCTTCTATTTCTTCTTGCATTGCTGCCATCCACAGAGAAGCATCTGAACTACTCACAGCCTCCCGAAAGGTTGACGGTTCTCCCTCTTCTGTTAGAAGACAATATGCATCATGACTTGCCATTACATAGTCTCGAGTGCCAAGATGGTCTCCTTATCCGACGTGTTATTCGTCGAACTTCTGTGTCATTGGCCTCTTCCGGTTCTTGCTCCTCATGCTCCGGTTCTCGCTTCTAAAGAATCTTCTTCTCCAGACTTTCCATCTATTTGTACAGTAGTTACATCTTTAGAAGTGCTGTCATTTACTTGTTCATTTTGCAGTTCATTCTCTGCAAAAATTATGTCTCTGCTGACAATAACCTTGTGGGCAGTGGGATCCCACAGGCGATACCCCTTAACTCCGTCAGCATAGCCCAAGAATATGCATTTTCTGGATTTTGGATCCAACTTTGTTCTTTCTTGGGAGTTGTACATTACGTACACAGGACATCCAAACACATGTAGAGAAGAGTACTCGCCGGCTTTCCTTTCCACATTTCCATAGGTGTCTTTAAACCAATCACAGCTTGATGGAGATCGATTTATCACGTAACAAGTCGTCTTCACCGCTTCGCCCAAAAGACTTGGCTAATCTTCGCTGTTCGCAAGATAGCTCTAGTCCTCTCTAGGAGAGTTCTATTCATCCGCTCTGCTACACCATTTTGCTCGAGGTGTATGAGCAACCGTGAACTGTCTCCTTATACCCTCCCGCTTGTAGAATGCCGTAAACTCACCATCTCGTATATTCTCCTCCATTGTCTCGTCCTTAAACATTTGATCTTCTTTCCAGCTTCAAGCTCCACTTGTGCTTTGAATTCCTTGAAAACTCGGAAACACATCTCGACTTTTTCTTGATTGGGTACACCCACAATCTCCTAGAGTAATCATCAATAAATGATACAAAATATTTAGCTCCTCCTAGAGACATTTCCGGTGACTCCCACACATCGAATGTATCAAGTCAAGTATGTGTTTGCTTCTAGTAGTTGACTTTTCAAATTTCAATCTATGTTGTTTGCTTGTCACACGGTGCTCACGTAAAGGTAAGTTTACCGATGTGAGCCCGGTAAGAGTTTACGTTCCGCAAGGACCTTCAAGCCTCGTTCCGACATATGGCCTAGTCTCGCGATGCCACATTGTCGTTGATTCCTCTTGACTAGCCGATGCAACCGATACATCTCGCCTCTTGCAACGTATCTCCCGTAAGCATGTATAGGTTTGCAAGCAAACTTCTCCGCTTTCATCACTACTAGAGCACCTTTCACTACTTTCAAGATCCCACCTTCAATATGGGTCTTGCAACCGAGGTCATCCAATTGTCCAATAGACAATAAATTCTTTCTCAAACCCTTCACATGTCGTACCTCTTGAATTGTACGAATAGTCCCATTGTACATCTTCAATTTGACAAGCATCGATTCCAAGCAATTTCCAAGGCGTGATCATTACCCATGAACACAGATCCCTCCGAGATAGGTTTATAAGTGCAAAACCAATCTCTTCGTGAAGTCATGTGCCATGTTGCTCCCGAATCTATTATCCAAACATCGGTGAGTTGTTTTTCACCTTTGGAACCAATAGCTGCTTCGCTATACGTGATTTCTCCATCATCGTAGGTACCGGCAACACATCCTTGAGATGTAGTTGCCTCGAAGACTTCTCTCGCATTTTTCTTCTTCCAACAATCTTTCTTCAAGTGCCCTCTCATGCCACAATAGTAGCATTTGAAATTCTTCCTTCCTCGAGATTTTGATCTACCATGGTTTTGACTCCCACTAGAGCCACGCTCCGTTGATCTTCCTCTCATCATCGTCAAAGCCTCTCGCTTGCTTGGAATTTTCCAATCTATCTACTTTATTCTTGCGTCTCGGATTCTTCTTCTAGAGTAGCTCCGCAACATCCTCAAAGCGTAGATTTCCTTCCATATTAGTATTTGTTATGTTGATGATGAGTTGATCGTATGAGTCCGGTAGACTCGAAGTAGAAGTTCCGCACGTTCATTTTCAACTATGTTGAAATCTGCCGTCGATAGTTGGGCAAATAAGGTGTTCGGATGATTAATGTGGTCCGTCATCGATGTGGACTCACTCATCCGAAGAGTGTAGAGTTTCCGCTTCAAGAATATCCTTGTGTGAAGAGACTTCACCTCATATAATTTGATGAGGGCATCCCAAATCTCCTTTCGTCGTATTCTTTTCCACAACATCGGATAGTACTGAATCCGCCATCGCTAAATGCAAATTTGCTATAGCATTTCCGTCAATTTCCTTCCACTTCGATCCGTCATTTCGCGGGTCTTCCTTCAATTGCATCAAGGCAATTGTCCTTTCTCAAAATTGCCTTCATCTTCAATTTCCATAACGAGAAATTGTTCCCGTTGAACTTCTCTATCTCATACTTTGCCGCCATAGTTGTGTTTCCACTTATGCAACTCTCACTTATGAATAGTATTGTCTATCGGAACAATAGTAGTAGACCGTGAACCAATACACTAGGTAAGTTCCCAGGAAAGAGAGGTGAGTCACTAATGGACACACTTAAGTACCAAGTCTTTCCTAGCCGTAACTTCCCAGCATACAGCTTCACACTACTACACCTTTTCCAAGAATAACTCTTTTCGATGTGGAAGATCGATTAAACCGCAACCACGGAGCATACTCGTAATTTTACCAACACTATTCTAGTGACTAGCGCAACTGAATAAGAACGTGGCTCCGATACCACCGTTAGGTATCGATCTAGCACAAGAACTCAACTAAAATAGAGAAGAGAAAAATAGAATAGCAATAATGGACAAAAGTAGAAATTTTATAATAGCAAGAAAAGATTACACACCCCTTCTCTAGTCCTAAAATTGACAATACTTTCTAATACTAGAGAAGGAAAGGAATTTTTTTTTTTTTTTTGGGATGTATAGAATGGGGGGTATGTGGTTTCTTATATAACCACTCACCCATACCCCCTTTGAAGAGTACCCACAGATGTGGGACTTTGTTCTCACAGAGTATAGTCATGTAATTGCCATTTTGGTCATATTTTGGTTTTTTCATACATATTAAGAAGAGTAATACTTGTTGAGCAATATTCTTCCGATTAAATGAAAAAAAAAAAATATTAATTAGTATGATTAGGGTAATATTAGATTAAAATTGTAATTAACAAAGTGAAATAGAGGGAGTTAATGAGATTGACCAAAACAGCGGTCCAAATCATGTAATAACTTCTCCTAAACAAGATTAACTTTGAAAGACAAAGAATCATTAATATTTTTGTTCTGATACTTCTCTACTCCGTGCCAAGTGGTAACCAGTGAATGAGAAATAATTAATTGCGTAAAATTCAGAAAAGGGTACAAAGGCTTCACCTAGAGTTGCAGATCTGAAAGTGGTCCAGCCATCACCAACGCTTCTGTTACCAGTTACGACAGTGACATCACTTCCATCGCCAAGCATGATAATGTTGGTCTTATAGCTTGGGATTTCAAGGTTTTCCTCATAAATCCCTTCTTTGACATAGATCAACGTCCTATCCAAGCTGTTATTTGGAGCAAAGTTGATAGCTTCAGTGATGGTGCTAAAGTTCCCAGTTCCATCTGCAGCCACAACTAGCACTTCATTTGGGTCATATTCTTCCCCATCCCAGTCTTGAAAGAGGCTTTGGTTCCTGCTTGATAACCACTTAGGAACATTCATGAAAGACTGGTTATTCTTTTGGCCTTTGGGAGTCCCCATCTCAGGCTTAGGGAGCATAGAAAGAGAGTTACTGACATGCTTGTAAGTGTTGATCACAGATTTCACCAGAGCTGGCTTCATGGTGCCAGAAGCAGAATCTAGGCCTTCTAGGCATGTGTTCTTGTTGGTGAGGGCTGCACTGAGGTAGGCTCTTGCATCAACTATGTTCATGGAGTTGGAGGAACGGATCCCTGATAGTGATCTTTTCAAAGAAGACAATGTGGATTGGTGGAGCTCCCGGCAGTCCTGAACTGCTCCTCTCTGCTTCTCTACGATGTTGTAGTGTCCAACATTATGGAAGATATTGGATAGCTTTGTGGTTTCAGATATTGCTACTTGGAGGGACTGAAGGAGGTAGTTGATAATATTTGGACTAATGTTTATTGAGATGGATAGCTTCAAAGAATTGAAACAAACTTCTGGGTATGGGGTGGTTCTGCAGAAAGATCTTAAGGAAGAGAGATTGGTATGAAGTGTTGTGGAAGCATTGGAGGAGTTGACAGCACAAGTGTGTGAGTAGAAGATTGCAAAGAGAAGGAAGAGAAGTTTGTGAGATGAATAAGCCATGAAAAATAAGGAAAAAGGTTATGGAAAGTAGGGAAAGATGAAGGTGTTGAATATTTGACTCACTTAAATAACACACTTGCTTGGGGGTAAAAAGTGATGGGGACACTGATTAAGAATCTAAAGTAACACGGGGTTTGAAGTAATGCATTATTGGAAGTATACCTGCCACTAATTTATTGATATCTCCTCTTTATAGTTTAGGTGGGGCATTGAGAAACTTTTTGTTTTACATGAAATTCTTTTTCATTAGTATTTAGCGAAATGAAATAAAAGCCAAATTATGAGAAAAAGTAAAAAGTTACACTAGTTTTGGGTGAGTAGAGTAGCAAGTTGTTCTTGGAAGATAATGTAGAAAAAAAAATGTAACGTTTTTCTATGAAACAGAGTACTCTGATTCTGAGACAAGAAGACATTGACTGCATGTTGGAGGTAGCAGTGAAAATAATGCAAGGAATGGTGCGCCACAACTACTAATTAATGACTTAAGAGACCTCGATTGAGTTCTATTTTTTTTTTCTTTGGTTCAACATGCTCTTGAAATTTCTTGGGTTTACTATTTCATCATTTTAAAACCTTTTTATTTTCAGTTTCTAATGGAAAGAGGATTTTGAAACTTCAAACATTTGATTGACTTATAAAAAGTTATTTGAATTTCTTTAATTTTAGAAAATAACATGAAAACATTTTACCTATTATTGTGGACCAAATTAATGGTTTACCCTAGGTTGACCGTGAGTGATGGAATAATATGGCAACCCGTGAAGCTGCTTCGAACACTGGATTACCCCACAAGCAAATGTTACTTTTTTTCATTCTTCTTGAATATGATGCTCATGACTTCATTCTTCTTGAAAAAGTTAAACTTATATTTACTTTTTAATTAATTCTATTAAAAAATTAAAGGCCAAATACAAATACAACAAAAATAAAAAATATTTTTTTTTTCAATTTAATGTTTGATATTTTTCAGATAAGAAATCAAACTCAACCATTTCATCAAGCATGTGAGTTTAACAACTTGCGCAGATAAAAATTGATAATATGAATCCTTATTTGAGAAATTGTTCTTCATTAATTGTTAAATAATGGTTTGCATATAAAACCCTAGACAACTTGACTTTGTCTCGTGAAGTCACAAGCGAGAATACTGAACTAGGCAAGCGTCACGCTTGTTTGTCCACAAATCTGCCAAATCTCACATGTGGAGAGAATTTTTTATATAAATAAATGTTCATATGATTTAATAACTTTTTTATTTATTTATTAAATTTAATCTCGTTATTAATAAAAATTTTAATAGTCTTTTAATTTTTAAAATAAAATACTGCAATTATTTTGTATTTAGTTAGGAGTAGAAATGATAATAAAAATATATTGATGATTTTAATTTATATATAAAACAATTTATAATTAATATATAATATTTAAACAAACTAGAAAAGTTTACGTTTAAAAATTGAAAGATTATATTATTATATTTTCAAAATTTAGAGATTTATAAACCTTATTTTATGGTAAAACAACTAAGTAAAATAAATAATGGGAAAAAAATGAACTAAACCTATTTAAATTTATAGAAAATAAAAAGAAGAAACATTGTATATAAGCACATTGTTGCTCTTTTCTATTCACACTTCACGTGAAAAAAATAGCGAAGAAAGTGATGGAACCCCACCATATAATACGATACGTTCTCTTCTTTTTATGAAGAATGTTAATGTATTTTTGTTTTATATGAGATTTTCAAATTATATGCAGTATAAATTTGGAGCTAAATGTCTTAATTCTTTATTATTTTTTAATATTTTATTTTATTGTGAAATAACAAGATATTCATTTATTCTGTGTAAGAGGAAGTAAAAGAATGCAGAAATGGGACAAGAAGATTGTTATTTTTTATTCCATGGTATGCAGAAGTAAATTTGAAGTACGTTGTCATCGTTATCTTAAAAATTGCACCTGTGAGTTCGAGTGATTTAAGTGAGAATTGGTTTAGAAATTGGCCGATATTTTAAATATAATTAACTTAACTTTTAAATGTTAACTTGGACATAAATTTTAAAAAATTAAAAAAAAAACTAATCCACAGAAAAAATAAAAAAAACAAAGACTTTTCTATAGTTAAAAACAAAACTAGCAGCAATGAAATTTATGTCCAAGATAATAACGATGAGTAAGATGTGCAAATGAGCTACTCTCAGTCTTTGATTACATATTAAGTAAAAAAGTTTAAAGATTCAGTTTGTTTCATATTTTAAAATAGTTTATAACTTTTTTTCTAACCTAATTCTATATTTGCCAAAGGATCTCTAATTAAACAAAAATTAATATATTTATATAAAAAATAAAAAATAAATCTATTTTTAAAATAATTCACATTAATAAAATCAATTTATATAAATTAATAAAAAATAAATTATTTTAAATATAATAATTTATTTAAATTTATAGAAAAAATATTTCTTATAATTTTTATGAACATTTACAAAAATATTAATTCATGTGAATTTCTAGTAATATATTTTATAAAATAATTTTATTTTATTTTATAAATTGAGTTAACTCATACATTTATTATTTAATTATTTTAAATCATTTAAACCACAAGCTAAATTATTAAATAACATGAGTCTAATTTAATTTAAATTATGTTTTTATTTTATCTCACCTAATTTTATATATATATATATATATATATATATATATATATATATATTATTAATAATAAACATCAACCACGTCAACTCTAAAATTGGTATGAGATAAGCAGCATTAATTAACAAAAATATAAAATAGACTTAATATTAATTGAAGTACTCTTTAAATATTTTCAGTTCTATTTTCAATGGTTATTTTTTATTTATAATATTAAATTTCAATAAAAAAATGTTAAAATAATTGTATTTTAACTAAGATTAATATAATTTAAAAAATATTAACTAAATTTTTGTAATCAGTATAAAATTAGTTACATTTATTTATATTTAAATAGGAAAGTAACAACAAAAGATTATTTCATAAATTTAATATTTATTATTTCCGGTTACAAATTATTTGCAAAAGAAACAATAAAAGCAACAAATTTCTGTTTTTGTTGTTATTCGTTTGGTACATGCTTAAAATCAAAATGAAGGTAAAAATTAGAGGACCTTCTATGACTCTAAATAAAACATATAAAGTAAGAAAGAAAATTAAAAAGCAATTGAAATATATGATTTGAAGTTGGATTGCACATGAATGTTTTACCAAGTTAGGGTAAAAGACATTTTTGTCTTGTGACATTGGTGTTTGCTTCCTCCAAATGCTAGAATTTCTAGCCCCAAGAAGAAGGATATATATTTAGCTTGAAGTGCACTAGTTGGATAATAAGACCAAAACTAAATACTAAATTTGTGTTCAATGCATTCTACCAACAAGTGATGCAACTTCAATGGTTTGTTTATCAATTATCAATGACCAAGACACTTCACCCACCACTCTTACTTGTTGCAAATTTGATAATGGGATTGATTTGAGGAGAGGCATTAGAGCCTACGGTGGGTCCAAAAAATACTTGGCCATGGCAACTAAGCAACAAAACTTATTCATTCTCATGGTTGCAATGGTTATTTAGTTTGAAGCTTAAGATCATCCTTTGATCTTGACCTTAGTTTTGTCTATTTTCTTCTTCTTCTTCTTAAATAGCTTGACCCCCTAATAACAAAACAAAAATATCTAGGACTTTTGCATCATCAACATAATGTGTGTATATATAGATATATGATAAATGCTGATTTTTTTCATATCAATGTGTTTCACTCTAGGACCTTTTGTCTCTTTTACTAATTAAAGTAGCAATTAATTAATATCCTTCCATTTTACATGAGCTTATGTGCTTCTTATTTTCTCTTCTAAGTTGTATGCTAGCTTAACATTGAAACATCTTCATTAATGTGACATAAGTATATGGAAGTACACCTCATTGATGGGATCGGATCTAGACAAAGGTACACATGTAATTTCTCAAGTTAAATATTAAAAAAATTTGGTTAATTTACTATTTGAATAAATTGTAATAAACTTATATAAATTTTATATGAATTAGTAAATATAAATTTAAATATAATTTATATTTTATAATAGTATTTTTTATCACTCAAATAATATAAATATACATGTTTTCATAAAAGATGGAAAGTGTTAACTTTATATTTATCGTTAAAATCTGGCATCATTCGTTTCGGAGTTTTAGTATATGACAGTTTAATTCTTAAAAAATTCTCGTAAATCTAAATGATATGACACTTATCAACATTACGAATTAATATAATTTTTTAAAAAATAATTTCATTCTAAACTCTTATATATGTTTCTTTATATGTATATATGATTTTGTCATTTATATTATTTTATTTTATTTAGTATTAACGTATATAACACATTATTATTGAGGTTTAATTCTTTAATTTATTATGAATTAAAATGTTCAAATATTATTGTGTCATGCATTTATTAAAACGTTTTTATAATAGCTTGTAATCTTAAAATTTAATGAATCGAGCGTGAGAAATTAAAACTCCATAAATTTATACGAATTCTGAGTTTGTCAAACTTCATCATAGGCGTGAAATAATTTATCTTTCATTATTTTCTGGAACATCTTCTTCTGAAAGGAAAAATCGAAAAGGGGAGAAAAGTAGTTGCAATTCTTAAACAAAGAGATAAGATGGAAGAACAAAATTGCTGAGAAGATAAGAGATACTTTTGTGAACAGATTTAATATATTGTTAATGAGAAGCACGTAACGCTATAAGCTAAATGTAGCTTTGAACTGAACGTGATTCTATAGTTCCATTCCTTTTAAAAGTAAATTAAAGTCCATAGTCAATTCTATTAATTTGTATAATGAAATTTATGATTCGCGTTTACATCACACAACTTAATACTCATGTATTCATGTAATATATTATTAATAATGCGTATAACACGTTGAGATACGTGTTAATTCTATATTAATATCACATCGACAAATATAATGATTCACGTAACACTTTCAGTCAATTTACTTAAATAACAAAAAAATATATTAATAATAATAAAAAAACGAAATTGAAAAAAACTATTTTTTAACCATTAAACATAGGATTTTAAAGGTGTTATATAGGAAAACTTTAATAAATTATATATATCACTATTGATTTCTATACATTTTTTATAAACATTTTTAAAAGAAAGAGAAAAATTACAAATTATATATATATAAGTTTATCCACTCATATATTTAGAATGAATTACCACTGGATAAAGTACCACAAAGCTATAACTTCTGCAGCTATTAAGAAATTAAGTATGAGCAAAGGGAAAGTGTGGCATTAGTAGTGTCTTAATCCCCAAATCCAGGAGTGTATGTTACACCTGTTGAAGGTAACCATAGATCCCCCAAAATGAGATTGGCCACAGTGAAGTTGTAAACCTGGCTAGAATCATTTATCACATGGTACCCTGGCCATTTCACCCTGTTATCTAGCCTAGCTCCTGCTCCATAATTCTTGTACTCACCAAAGAACAAAGTGTCCAAATACAATGGTCCATCCCACTCTAGCCACCCTTCTGGTCTTAACACCTCACTGATGTAACACTGCATGAAGACTGTTCTAGAATAATTCTTCCAGGGTCTTCCAAGGTAGGTTGAGGTGGTGTTAAGTGAGGGAAGAAGGTCATAATCTGCTGAAATGTTGCAGAATTGGATGGAGAAACCAGATGATTGAGAAATGTAAGCTTTTCCTTGAGCTGTGATTGTGTTCTTCTGGCCTTGTAAGCCTTTTTTTACCAATATTGTGCAGTTCTGGAACACTGCTTTGGCATGTCCAAATATGAAATCCACTGTGCCACTAATTGTACATTCTCTGTAAAATTGGCGCAAGGAGTGGGCATAGAGGCTGTCTTGGTAGCCAAAAATCCCACATCGGTGGAACACAGAAAGGTCAGAGTCTGATCTCAGAGCAACAGCTTGGTTTCTTTGGGGTCCTGCAGTGTTCCTGAAGGAAATGTCTCTTGCTATGAACCCTCTCCCATTCACAGCTTCACAATAAATAAAAGAATCAAAATTGCAATTTTTTTACAATATTATTTGATTATATATTATTATAGTAATGGAAATGGCTACTCTAAAGGGCATGTCTCCTACAATAATATAATGCTTAAAAGTAATTTAGTTAATTAAGTAATAGTGTAAAACTTGAAATTAAACTTATTTTTCGTTCTTAATATTACAAGTGAAGTGTCCTTACCAAAGGTAGCAGTCCTGAGTGTGCTTAATGTTTCAGTATGACTGAGGTTAAAGGAGATCACAGTAACATCCATACCCTCTCCAATCATCACAAGGTTCCACTTCTTCTTCTTAATCTCAACTTTCTCAGTGTACACACCCTTCTTTATGTGTATCACAAAGCGTCTCATGCTATATTCAGGAGCTGCATTCACAGCATCCATCACCTTTGTGAAATCACCACTCCCATCTGCAGCAACTACAGCATCTGCATCCACCTTTTTTCTCTGCAGAAGTGGTTCAACCCATGAAGGAAATCTGTCGCTTCCGAAATCATCCGAAACAAGCTTCACCTGGTTCACCAGCTTTTGGAGCAACCACTTTGCTTCCTCAATTTCGTTGGATATCAAACTTTTCACATTCTCACTTGTACCTTCCAAACCATCCATGCACGTGTCTGTGTTCGCAAGTACAGCACTTATCCATGTCCTTAAATCAGAGCTCAGATTCCCAGTACTGTTATGCTTCCCTGCCATGCCACAAATAATATTATTTACATACATACGTATACCCTTTTTACTAACATAAATGAGATTATATATGCTCGTTACTTAAATATATAACAGTAATGAAATATTTCTGTGTCAAAAAAATACTTTAATTTGAGGTTTTTACATGATATTGATGATACCTTGGGGATTTTGAACAGCGGAAATGGACCAGCTGAGTTCATCAGCTGACAAGTCCAACAACTCCAGACATGCTAAAACGGCATCAGAAAGAGGAAACTCACTTTCGACATTAATGGACTCAGATTTGAGAGTGGAGGTAACATTTTGCAAAACATCACCTATTGTTCTCACGGAGCCTATGAATTCGGACGGAGAAACTTCCAGGCTATGGAGTCTCGCGAATTCAGAGGGAATAAAGAAGAAGAAGATGCAGATGAAGGTGGCAGAGGGAATTGGAGCCAGCGGTTTTGTCCAGAAAACAGCCATTGAAATGAATTGCATAAGACGAGTGAGAAAACTTAATATGTACCCTTGTGTTTTGGAGAGAGAATTTACAAGTAATTTAGTAATAAAAAAAGAATGAATGAAATATAACAAAGAATTTCTATTGCAATTGCAAGAATGAAATTTGAAGATATGAAATTTGAAGATGTTTGGTTAACGTATGAAAAAGTTATCTTTTGAGGGAACTGCTTATATCTGTAGAATGGAAAGAAGTGAGTTTTCACCTACATATACATTTACCTGCGGTAATGGCATATTTACGTAACGGAACCAATAACAACGAATGAAGGTAAAAAATCAACGTGATATCCAACTTTTATTAAATGATTATCACTAATAATTATAAATATCCTATTACTTCTTTTACTATTATGTAAATCAACAAATCAATTTATGGTTTATTAGACTTGTTACTAAAAACACAAACTAATATAATTTTAAAAAATATATTTTTTCTATTAACATTATGCACATGTAATCGAGTTTAATCAAGACGTTGAGGTGTACCAAATTTTAAAATTTCACATCCAAATCCAAAAAATTATACTAATTTAAATTGATTTTTTTTATTTAGATGACATTAAAAATGGGTATTGTTCCTGGCATACATTATTATTTATTTTTTAATAATAAAATTAAAGGAAATAAGAAAGGTTGAACAAACACTAAATAAGTGAGTGTATTAAAAACGAACAGAGATGTAAAACATGTAAAAGTGCTCATATATTCTCACAAGATAAAAAACAGAAGAGAAAAAAAAAATGAAATATATCAATATTATATATGAATTCATTTGGTGGGAGGATTTCTATTCATTCCATAACTTTTGCCTGCTTGCATTGCTGTGCACGAGCTTCACTAATCTTGAAATAAAACTGAGGCTTCACAGACAAAGACAAATATTATCAATATCAAATTTGATTGATAAACATGATATGTGATTTTATTCCTTATTTAGCCAGTACTTTGGACTTTGAAGTGGAGTAGGTTACGTGGGTAAGCTAAAATCACGACAGAAGTGAATCAAATGGGATTGTGTTGTAATTCCAATCAGACACTTGATTGAATCTCCTGGAAAAAAAAAAATTATGTATATTTGCTGTGTGTGTAATCAAAGCAACGTAGTGGACAACTAAACAAGAAAACCAAGTGAATAATTTTCCATTTAGGATTTTCAGTGACATTTCACAACATCAAAGTTACACGATTCTTGATGTAACACAGCCCTTTGAATTAAATCCTGACTAGTGTTGGTATGTTGTCAGTCAATTAGTCTTACAAACTTTTACATGATTCTCAAACCTTACTTGCTTGTGAAATAACCATTTGAGAGAGAACTTATACAAACATTTTAGTACTTACAACACATTTTCTTGGTATTCTTTTTTGCTCCTGGTGTAAAGAAGTACCTACCAAACATTTTCCTTGTACAGAACAACACACAATATTGAGGAATACCCAATTAATTCAGGGACCAAAGATAAAAACAGAAAATTATTAGATAGCCAAAGTACAAATTAATGAAATTGAACACCTACCCACCACCATTTTTTACATTTCATTTGGTCTTTTGCTCTAAGAAAAAATAAAACACTTTGAATAAGCAAAGTACAAGAAGGACATGCAAGATTTGGCATAGCTTGATTTCATTCGTTCAATCCAGCTGTGAATGCTACACCAGTTGATGGTAACCAGAGATTCCCCTCAATAAATTGTGATACTGTGAAATTACTAGCCTGGCTAGAATCATTCATGACATGGTACCCTGGCCATTTCACTCGGTTAGAAAGCCCTGAACCGGGCCCATAATTCAAGTACTCTGCATAGTACAATGTGTCCAAGGCAAAGTCCCCATTCCACTCCAACCACCCTTCTGGCCGCACCACATCACTGATGTAAGATTGCATGAAAATTGTTCTAGAATATTGCTTCCAGGGTCTGCCAAGGTACGTGTGGGTGGAGTTAACCGAGTTGACAAGGTCAGAATCAGCAGAAATGTTGCAAAACTGGATGGAGAAACCAGTTGGTTCATCAGGGGTTTTCCTGCCATGAGCTGTGATGGTGTTCTTCTGATTTGGTAACCCTTTTCTGGCCTCTATGTGGCAGTTTTGGAAAATGGCAGTGGCATCACCAAAAATGAAATCCACGGTGCCACTGATTCTGCATTCTCTGTAGAATTGGCGCATGGTGTGAGTGTAGAGGGTGTCTTGGTAGCCATAAATGCCACATCGGTAGAACACAGAGAGGTCAGAGTCTGATCTGAGTGCCACTGCTTGGTGCTTCTCTGCTCCTGCTGTGTTCTGGAAGGTAATGTCTCGTGCTATGAATCCTCTGCCACTCACAGCTACACATGCAATGCCACCAAACCCATACATAATAAATAAATATGAGAATCGGGTCAGAGATTATGACTGTGATGGCAAGTATTTTTGGTCTGATGAACGCAATTAAGGCAGCACATGCACATTTATTTTTCATTATTAGTAGTTGCATTCGTGGATTAATTATGCTACTACATTAGTTAACGTCTAAATAGAAGGACCACATTGCCAAATTCAAACACCAATGTCACTCGTGTCTAGTTAGTTCCCCCGTTAGCCCTGTCTGGACAATCACATTTATTTAATCATATTTAAACACAGTTGTTTAAATAAGATATGGAAGCATTTATTTATAAATCAACACATTTATTTATTTTAATTTTTTTTATGGTTTAAATGTGTTCTAATCCTTATATTTTAGAAGTTAATAATTAATTTTAAAATTAATCCTTAATTAATTTTATAACAGTAAATAATTATTAAAATCATATTAATTTTATCATTAACTTTTTTAAAATAAAAAATCATAATTAAAAATTTCATCTAGTTATAAAAAATTAGAATATATATTTAAAAAAATCAAAAGATCAAATTGATCAAAAATCAATAATAATAATAATAATAATAATAATAATAATAATAATAATAATAATAATAATAAAACATATTATAGGCAGGAAAACATCTCATGTGTTCTCATACACACTCAATGGTAATAATATGGGTAGAATCTGCCTACCCTAGGGAATAGGTAATAGCGGTCAACTTTAGGTCTCCCTCCTCAGTGTTACCAATATGCACAAAATAATTCACCATGTCAATTTGTTCTTGCCAAGATTAGCATATCATATAAGTTAAATATTTAATAAAAAAAGTGTATATATATAATACAGTAAGTTTATTTTAAAAACAATAAAAGATGTATCTTCAAAATTTAAAATTATATAAATTTTATTAATATCACTTGTTATTTTTAGTTGTAACAGTAGACAAAAAAAAGCCAGAAATTGGGTCCTCAAAATTACACAAATTTAGAAGGAGAAAACATAGGGGCGTTCAAACTTATCCGAAGCTACTTCTATATAGAATAAGTAAGAAAATAAAATACACTTTTCATAAATTACAATTAATTTACATAAAATAAAAATATAAACATTTTGAGAAATTGTAAGAAAGAGTTTTAATATTTTAATTTATCCATAAATGATTTTAAATTTATAAAGCTTGTTTCATATTTTCTTTTAACATGTTTCATATGAAGTAGTGTTCTTACCAAAAGTTGCTGACCGAAACGTGGTCCAACCGTCGATGTAGCTCCTGTTACCGGAGATGATAGTAGCATCCATGCCTTCTCCGATCATCATGAGGTTCCACTTCTTCTTCTTGATCTCAACGTTCTCATGGTAAACCCCTCTCTTCACGTATATCACGTAGCGTTTCATGCTGTAATTAGGCGCAGCCAAGACAGCGTCCATGAGTTTGGTGAAGTTCCCGGTGCCATCGGTAGAAACCACCGCATCCACGACCAACCCATTTGCCTGAAGCAGCTTCCTGTCCCCTGGTTTGACCCACCTCGGAAACTGCCCCTGTGTGGAAGAGGAAGGGAATTGGTTCGAATTGGGGTTCACCTGTGTGAGAAGTTGTTGCAGCAATGACATAACTTGGCCTAGCCCCGAGGACACTAAATCCTTCACAATGCCGTTGGTGCCGTCGAATCCGTCCATGCATGTGTCTTGGTTCGCAAGTGCAGCACTTAGCCATGTCCTCAAATCTGAACTTAGCTTCCCTGTACTGTTATGCTTCCCTGCAACATATAATACCAGTAAGGTCTTCAACGTTTCTTCAACACGAGTTTCAGAAAATGAAAAGTTATCTCTTTGATCATGTATCTTTCTGTTAGGTTTCAAATAAGTTGGTCTAATTTATGGCAATTAAAAATGGATACAATTGAATTAGCAGTCAAAATCTGTAATAACTGACATACTCGACCAAATTAAAACTGAACATAAAAAATAGAGAAATAGACTGAAAAATAAAATAAGTTAAGATAAAATAAACTCCTGAGTTTTTTCAGCAGAGATTGAGAAAGATAATTGTGAAGAAAAAACATGGTAGAGGCATTGTGACAAAGTTAAGAAGAGGAATATAGTACCTTGGGGAGTCTGGGTAGCAGAGACAGACCAATCAAGTTCATCAGAGGAGAGGTCAAGCAAATCTAGACAATCAGAGATGGCGTTAGAAAGACGCAAGTCTCCGAAGCCAGAACCGAACTCAGAGAGAATGGAGGTCACATCTTGCAACACATCAACCACACTTTTCACTGTCCCCTCGAACTCTGAAGGCGAAACCTTCAGCAACTCCGATCCGACGGTGTTAGTGGTCCTGCCAAATGAGGCACCAAACACACTCTGGGAAAACAAAAGGAAGAAGACGAGTGCTAGTGTGGCCACTGTTGGAGATAACTCTTTGGTTGAAGAAAGCGCCATTGGGAGAAGAAGCGTGTTTTATTGCGTTGTTACGTGCTCAGGGGTGTGCATATTTTAAGAGAGGAAGAGGGTAATAAATAGTGCAGAATGTAATGGTTAGATGGGCAGGTGAGGGAATTTAAGGCTAACAGGTTGTTGCAGCAGCAGAGTTTGAAAAAAATAAAGATTTTGTTTCATTCTAATGTGAAATCTGGGTATGACATTCATGGTTTTTTTTTTTTTTTTTTTTTAAATGTGATAACAAGCCTTTTGAGTCAACCTTTGTTTGTAATAATGAGGTGGTCTTTAACTTGTTACAGCGTCGGTGGTGACTGTGCCACTGAGCAACTTCTAGGATATTCACTCTTTTCCAGGCACTTTTGAGTTACGTGAATCTAATTATCATCCATTTTTGTAGGTTTTAGTTTTAAACCAGTTAGAGTTAATGTAATTTTAATCTATAAAGAGTGGATTGAAGAAGGAAAAAAAGTTTTAGATACGTACATTGCTGTTAATCGTTTCATGTGTGCAAGCAAGTAATGTCAAGTGAGTCTCGATGTGATGAAATCTAGAGGGGGCCATTCTCCAGATGCGACAAGAACCAAATTTTCACCATTATTTCAGCACGTTTTTAGGGACAAAATTAATTCTACACATTGTATTATAAATTTTGTGAATTAAAATCATCTTTCTTCGAAAATATGTCTAAGTTCTTATTATTTCAATAAAAAATTATTATACATTTATTTTTATTTTATTTTTAAATTAGATTTAAGACAAAGAGATAAAAATAAGATACAAGTTTTAAGAATGAAACCTAGTTGAGAACGGTTAAGTTTGGCTTTATCTGGTTTCCATTTTTTTTTCTTTGTCTTTTACTTCGTTTTTCTTCTCTACCTAGCATGGAACATTAGCTTTCACATAGTTGAGGCATTAGTAGAAAAAACACTTTCAATGTTGTATTGTAATGTTTTCTCCTATGCCACAAAACTCATGCAGAAGTGATAAATGAGTGAGACACGTCATAAAGGATCTCTCTTCGAAGTTGTAATGTTGCAACAGCATCACTCTCCCACGTTATCTATAACTATATACAAATCCAGGTAACACAAATAGCAACTTTCTACAACTTTCTACACGTGTAATCACCACAATTTTTTTAAAAAAAAATCATAAACTAATTTTTTACAAAATATACCTATTTTGTACAAAAAGACAAACTGCTTCTTTGGGCCACAACAATACTGCAAGCCCATGCTTCTCCTCAGCCCAAATACTCTCCGAATATCTCATATGCTCTCATATGCTCCTTTGCGCCGTTTCGTTGCAAGTCTTCTTGCTCTGCACATTTTCTTCGCTTCCGCACGTCTTCTTTGCTCGCAATCTTTCCTATTTTATGCAAGATCAGTTGTCTCAAAAGAAGCATGAAATCTCTTTTGTTGCACGTCTTCCCTCAAGTAGTATTTCCATCTCGCATGTTCGGATAAGTTATATTTTTTATCATGATTAGAGTTCAATATTGTCTTCTTTGACCGTCATTAGGGTTGTATCTAAGGTTTTGCGTTTAAATGTTACCGATTTTGTAAAAAAGGTTATCGATTTGCTTTGATCTAAGGTTTTTAAATTTAAAAGTTACCGATTTCGGAAAAAATGTTACTCGATTAGCTTTGATCTAAGGTTTTTGAATTTAAAAGTTACCGATTTTCAATCTTTATGTTGTTTACCTTCAAGAGCGAAGTTGAAATTTTTTTCATGAAAAAAGTTTGCTTTTTTATCATCATTAGAGTTCAATATTGTCTTCTTTGACCGTCATTAGGGTTGTACATCTCGTTTATACCTATTTCAAGTATAGTTTTATGTAATTTTGCTTATTGATTTGCATTTAGCCCAAGTCTGGAGGTATAAAAATTGTTGTTTTTTACATCATGACGGAAATACAGGATGTCGGATACATGAAAATGGTAATACCTTCCCTTTACAAAAGTTTTAATTCGGATTACTTTAATATTGTCAACATTTCAAATTTCAAATTTCAAATTTCAAATTCTAGAATACGAGCAACATTTCCCTCTTTCCACCATGCTTATAAATATACATCTCGTGATGATAATATTTCTACGTTGAGTGGGTTATTCTCTATCTATTTTTTACATTCAGTTTGCAACATGTCTAATTTGCAAAAAAAGTATCACTCGTTTCGAACTCGGTCTTGAAAAAGAAAATTGGAATATATTGGCAAAGGTCATACGCCTGTGGTTTGTTTCGATTTCACTAAACACAAATTGCCATTTTCCATGGACTTTGTCATGCAAGATATGAAGGTCGGTTTACCATGCTTTCAATACATTTTAAATAACACTCAATTGTGATTTCATTTTCTTAATGCGGGGTGACGGAATTCGGGGTTCCGTTAGGAGGTCTCTCATCTATAAATTTCAAAATGAAATTACCGAGGGGCGTGTGTACTCTATTCAAAATTTGGAACCACCCACCACCCACCACCCATACAAAATCAACTTCCAGTTTGGAACCAAAGTGAACTTAGTTGATTGTCATGTTATAACTGAAAATAATGGTCAATATATACCACTCTCAGTTATTACGGCTCCTGGATTTGACACAGATTACTTGGTTGGTAAGTGCATATAACATGATGTTAAATACTCTGTTTTATCATATACTATTTATTTATTATTTAGCATATGGTGTTACTCACATGAAACATCATTTCACAAACACAGATGTCATGGGAATACTTACGGGAGTTGGGACGAAAGAGAGCTAGACAAGAATGGTAAAAAAACAAAACTAAACATGATATGCTTAGAGGTCGATGGGTAAAGCTCTTTAACCCATTTATTGATGCTTAAGGATTTACTATAGTATAGTATAGTTTTTTTTTAACATGTGTTGTATTTCAAACTTAGTTTTAGAGTAGAGTGTACGTTGTTTGGTCAATATGTTGATGACCTAAATGCATTCCTTGCATCCGGAGATATCCAAAATCCTGTCATAATCATACAATTCGGCAAAGTCAAAATCTTCCAAGGTAACTAATATATTGATGTTATAATTAGTTATAGTTAGTTACAATTATTGATATTATATTATAGTTTTATATCTTTATATGTTATTTACGGATAAAGTATATGTGCAAAATTGTATGGATTGTACAAGGATAATTTTCAATGCTCGAGTGCGAAGAAGCTAGACAACTTAAAAAAAGGTGTAAATCATAAATTTCACTTGAAGTGTTAACCAACTAAAATGTCCATTTGACTTTTCATGTTTTATTGAATGCGAGGATGTCCGAGAGTATGGAGTCACCTGCCCAAGGGTTAAGCCGACTTTCGACTCTTCTAAACAAACCAGTGAAGATGAATTTCTTCAATCTACTCCTAGAAATACAATAGAGGGTTTAAAAGATTGTAAACAGGTGTCATAGTCATTATTAGTCTATTCATTACTCCATTCCTATTAATTAGTGATGTTCATTGTGGTTATTGTCTATTCATTTTAGTTTTAATTACTATTGTTCATATTTGTTTTTACAAGAAACAAGTTTTGTAATTCTAGGCACTATAAAACATATTGTTCATGATGATGATTGGTGGTATACAGACTTGTGTGTGCAACAAAGCGAGTATATCCAGATTCCAAAATGTTTTTCTGTGAAAAATGTAATAAACATGTCATGAAAGTCATGCCTAGGTACTAATCAATGCTATTTTTTTGGCATCATATTTCAACTTTTTTATGAAATTCTTACAAATAATATTTTATTGCTTATGAATTTCAGGTACAAGCTTAAGGTGAGGGTCATTGATGAAACAGACTCGAGCAACTTTTGTAATTTTTGATAGGGATGTTGCTACATTGTTAAAAAAATCATGCGCGAGAGATGTTTGATTCGCAGGATAAGGTTTTATTTTTCTATATTTATTATTTATTAAATGTATTATGTATTATTTATCTATTTATTACATTGCATTGAATGTTTAATATGGTTCTTTTATAGAATGTTGTTAATGGGAATTTCCAGAATGAGATTGAAGAAGCTGGTAAATAAGACGTTTCTCTTCAAAGTTGAGTCTACATGTGATCGAGTTTCGGGTTTGAACAAACATTCGGAGTCAAGAAAATTTGTGCAGACGATGTTATTATAAAAAACTTCATCGATGGTTGCATGAAATCAAAGGTAAATAGGTACTCAATAACCGATATTTGTTATTCATGATATTCTACTTCTATACTTGACCAAATGAAGTTTATTAGGATGTCAATTCGAGAAAATGCAATATTCAATAGCAAACAATCAAATTTTGGAAATACTTCTATTATTGTTGCTGAGGTATTTAATGGATTTCTCTTCATTATTACAAATATAACATTAAAACAAATTAGTCTAAAGTATGTCAACTTATTTTTACAGGATTTATTAACAAAGTTCTCCAATGCATCTAATGATGTTGACTCTGAACCAGCTGATTTAGCATCCGATATTGGTCTCAGCAATGACTTGGTCATGACAAATCTTAAACGACACAATATAACAAACTTGGACACACAAGATGAAGATATACCTTTAAAAATATTGAAGAAAAATATCAAGACGGAGAAAAATTAAGTAACTTAATAGATCTGATGAACTCCATTATAATGTGTTGTATTATCAATATGAATATTTTGTTGTGGTACTTTTCATGAACTGCATTATGATCTGATGAACTCCATTATAATGTGTTGTATTATCAATATGAATATTTTGTTGTGGTACTTTTCATGAACTGCATTATGATCTGAGAAAAAACTTGAATATTTTGTTGTCGTAGTTTTGATGAAGCTGCATTATGATATGTTGTATTATCAATATAATGAACTATATTTTTAATGGAATGCCCAATTACTTTAAGTATTGGGAAGCCTCTTTTACATTTTCACGAGGCCCAAACATTTGATGGAGCAATGGAAGCCCACTTAATGTAACTATTTGTAAGTATTTTTATCTTTTAAATCTTTGA